TGGTAATCTTACTTAGCTACCTCATATTCAAAGAAAATAGATAATACTTGAATTTTTTTCTTTTTCTTTCCTTTCTGCCTTTCTGGATCTCTGTTCTGCTAGGACCCAAAGTATATATCTGACTTTCTCTACAGTTCTTTTCCTGCAGTGTCTCTCTTTAACAACCTGAAGTTATTCTCTTTTGTCGTCTAGATCAAGACTTTTATTTCTCGTCATTGTTGGATTTTAACATAAATACTATCATCCATTACGTTTCAAACTATAATGTATCCCAGAGACAGTATTGGATGGAAATGATGTTTGAGAAGAATTCTAGAAAAATCATGGCCTGTGCTGGAGAAATCCTTGAATGTTGGTAGTGTTGAGGAAAAGGCACTGATTTTTGAGATGAGCCCTTAGAAGTGTTGCAGACTTCAGTTTTGAAGTATATAAGCACACAGCGTTCTTGCTTTTGTTTTTGTTTTATGATGGTGAAGATCCAGCCCCAGTCTCTGCCACTGAGCTACACATAAAACGTCTTGGTTTTTATTTTAATCTCCAAGTTGTTCACTTTAGTGTGCATAAGTAGATAAGACCTATATGCTTGCCTGGGGCAAAGAGTTCTCTGTACCTAGTGATGTAAATTTCACTTCTTTGTGCTGATTGCAAAGTCCCAGTCTCAGGCATGTTGAATCAGAAGTTCTGGGTGTGTACTAGAAGTCTGCATGTCTTAAGGCTATACAACTGATCATGTTAAGAGCCTTTCATAGTTCTACTAGCACTTTGTCCCCGTAGTTTGAGAACTCGAAACTCCCTCTTCCACATGTCCTTGGGAAGGTGGGTTTTCATTGCATTGCTTTAAATGCTTGCCATTTATTTGTTTGAATTTGCCTTAATTCTAAAGACAAGAAAGAGTGGAGACTGTGGAAGTATGCCATCATATCCAATTCTGTCTTGGATATCATGGCATACTTCCACAGTCTCAACACTCAGCCCGCTGAGGCAGGATGATCTTGTAAGATGAAGGACATTTTGGGAAACCTAGATATTCTCATCCTGGTCAAGGCAACATGGGAAGCATCTACCTAAGAAAGAAACAAAAAAGGAAGTGCTGACAAAGAGTAGCCTCATGAAAGAAAGAAAAAAAGACAAAGACAAAGAGAAAATGATGATAGACAAAAACAAAACCAAGCAGAGATTCAAGAAGGAAATCTGCCTTTGGATACTTCGGTATAAGATAGTAAAGAGGAAATTAGAAATTGGGTGTTATTTATAAGGGGTTCTAGAGTTGGCAGTGAAACAAAGGTCTCTGCTCTTCAGATAGTTAGGAGAATAAGGCTACAGCCGGGGGTCGGGGGGAATCCTTGGTTTAAGTTTTCTTCTACTTAAAAGTCGATGTTTTGCAGAAGTTTTAAGCCCAGAATTAGAGTTGACTTGTAAATACTTTGTAAGGGATGGTTCTGTCTGTTTTTCTGTCTCCAACTTACTGTTACTCAATTGAAATTCTTAAACTGTATTGCTAAGTTAGGATTCACTTCATAGCTTCCTTAAAATGTGAAATGTGACTTGGGTTTTAAATGCATGATTTACATATTTTGCAGGAGCCCATTTATTACAGAAAGCAGTGAACAGCTGTGTCCTCCCTAGGGTTGATAGCTTCACTTAAAGCCTTTTAAAACACCAATTAAGAAGAGTAGAATTTAATTTCTGTTTCTTATTACCTTCTTATTAGTAAGTTAGCTAATAGTATACTCCTCAGTTTGTATTATTAGATGGTACATCCAATATGCATTGTTAATCAAGTCTGTAGTTCCAAAGTTCAGGTATATCAAAAAATCCCGAGGGGCCGTGAAGATAGCATCATTAAAGTAAAGTGTTTACTCTGCAAGCATGAGGACCCAAGTTTGATGCCCAGAACCCATGTAAAATCCTGGTGGGGTGGATGCAAGTTTGTAATCCTTGTACTGGGGAGGTGGAGATAGGGTAGACAATTGATGACCAGACTGCATGGCCTATCGGGTGAGCCTCTTTTCCAGTGAGAAACCATGTTTTTGTTGTTGTTTTGGTTTTCTGGGGCAGGGTTTCTCTGTGTAACCTTAGCTGTCATGGAATTCACTTTGTAGACCAGGCTGGCCTTGAACTCAAAGAGATTCACATGCCTCTGGCTCCAGAGTGCTGGGAGTAAAGGACTGTGCTGCAACACCCCGACAAGAGACCATGTCTTAAAAATACAAGGTAGGGACCAGTGAGATGGCTCAACAAGGTAAGATGCTTGCCACATAAGCCGGGTGACCTGAGCTCAGTCCTTGGAAAGAAGAGACTATTCCACAAAGGTTGTCTGACACGCATGCACTGTGGTACTTATGCCACCTCCATAATAATAATAATAATAATAATAATAATAAAATTTAAAGACATAAGACAAGTTGGGCAGCTCCTGAACAATGTCACCCAAGGTTGACTTCTAGCCTCCCCATGCAGATACACACACGTACCTACACCCAAATTTGAACCCACATACCCATTCACTTACACATACACATATTCACTTTCACATACACATATTCACTTTCACATACACATATTCACTTTCACATACACATATACACCTTAAAGAAAGAAAGCAAAAACTTGACACTGGATTTTTTTTTTTAATTCCACTCTAAATTTAGGAAGTTATAGTGAGGTGAACTCATCCTCAAATTCTTTCATGACTATTTCCACCACAAGATACTAAAATGAGGAAAAATTATGACACAAACCACAAAGAGGTAACTGTGGGTTAGCTGCCATATATATGACAGTAATCACAGTAAATTGTTGGTAAAAGGCTACACCAAAGGAGCTGTGCCTGGTTGTTCACACCTATAATTCCAGCACTTAAGAAGTCCAAGGCAGAGGATCACAAGTTCTAGGGTAGCCTGGGCAATGAATTGGGAAAAACATAAACAAAACCAAACTGAGAACAAAAGAAGCCAACAATGCTCCATAACATCTGTAGTGCTGGTAATTGAGTCGTTGAAAAGAAATCCTAACCAAATGTGAACTGTGGAGAGTCACTTATAACCCACTAAAAGCCCCTCTGGGAGCCGTATGGGAATTTCCATGTATATTGTCTGCATCTAGAGATGTACGCAGGAGATGGTGACTGAAGGTGGGTATGGATGCACACTAATCTTGAACTAGAGAAAAAAAAGAAAACACTCGGAAATGGAAAGTATATTTTTGAGAAAAGAAAATTAAACCACGTGGAGGAGAAAATATGGGAAGCTTGGAAGGTGACTAGATCATGTGCTAACTTTATTTTAGGTAAGATGAGAAAGAGAAGCACATGGCAATCTTCAATTGCAGTGCAAGACAAAGAACTTGATGTGAAAACTTCAGCGGCTTCTTTGGCTAATGAAGTGAAACACAAAGGATATGCAGATTCTGTAATTGTCTCCTGAAATCCATGTTGAGATGAAACATCGGGAAATTATAGTAAATGAACAGATGCTTTAGGTTTAGTGGGCAAATTTGATTGAGTGACTAGAACCACTAACATCTTTTTCGGTTTTGAAGAAGCTCAAAGTAAAGTTTTAGACTAACAGGTCCCTCAAGTATACTTTAATGATGTTCTCTTTGAAAGGCTTGACAAATCTTCATTTTCAACCTGATCTGCAGTGGCTCTTTAGCAATAAGAATATAAAAAAGGTTGTCTCATGGGATGAATTTTGCATCTTTTAAGGCAAAAGCTATCTCTGTATCAAGAAAGGACAGTACAGTTATACATATAAGCATAGCCAATGTACATATGTATGCTTAGTTCTAGATTGTATTGTGTTGTCTAATTTTAGTTCCCTTCTGTAAGATGACTTGAAAAAATTTTTCTTTAGAATTATTGTAATTATACACATGATGGGGTGTTGCATGATAATTTGGTACCCACAAAACAGTGTGTAACAATCAAACTGGGGTAGTTAATATTGATACCTCCTTAAACATAAAAATTAAAGACATAACAGTAGTATATATTTATGTGGTATGATACAGTATTTCCATGTGTATATGCTAAATGTGCACACCATATATGGTAATTAACATTCTTATCTCTTTATCATTACCTTGTGTTATTCATAAAACATATTAGCTTATTGCGAACTGTACCCCCCCAACTCACACACTATACATTTGAACTTATAAACCTCTTTGCTATGTTTGGCTACCTGCCATCCAAACTCCCCCATGCTCTCCTCCCAACTCTTCCAATTGTCTTGTTAAAGCATACTTATGTAAAAAGGATATGTAGATTTTTGTCTTTTGCATGTCTTACTTTCCGTAATGCCATCTACTTCTATCCATTTTGTTGTAAAGGATAGTATACCATGCTTTTGATAGCTGTTATTCTATTTGTGTAAATGTGTATATACATCACATTTTTCTTATTTAGTCATCTCTTCTCTGTATAGTACCTAGACTAATTCCTTATGTTAGTTCTTATGAATAGTGCCTAGCTATTGTGAACAGGCATGAGAGTGCGCACATCTCTGACACGGTTACTTCATTTTCTAAAAAGGTAAACTCAAGTGTCTGATATCTGTATCAAATGCTAGATCTATTTTTGGTTTTCTGAAGACTGTTCCTACCATTCTTTGTAGTGGTTATGCTAATTCCCTTTTCTCTACACCCTTAGAAACATTTGATATATATTGAGTGTGATAAATATGAAAATGTGCATGAAGTATGCTATAACTTTAATCTGATTTTCTTTAAAAAGTTTGATTCATGGGGCTGGAGAGATGGCTCAGTGCTTAAGAGCACTGGCTGTTCTTGCCAGAGACCCAGGTAACAGCTCACAACTGTCTTTAACTCCAGTTGTTGGAGATCCAATGCTCTCTTTGGGCCTCCATAGGTACCAGGCACATATGTGGTATACTTACGTACATGCAGGAAAATAAAAATAAACGCACATAAAATAAAAATAAACCTAAAGGAAATTGATTCAAAGCATTTGGATTTACTCTCTTCTTTTTTCCCCTTAGAATAATATAGCTGATCCAGAAGAACTGTTCACAAAATTAGAGCGCATTGGAAAAGGCTCTTTTGGAGAAGTTTTCAAAGGAATTGATAACCGTACCCAGCAAGTGGTTGCAATTAAAATCATTGACCTTGAGGAAGCTGAAGATGAAATAGAAGACATTCAGCAAGAAATAACTGTTTTGAGTCAGTGCGACAGCTCATATGTAACAAAATACTATGGCTCCTATTTGAAGGTAATGTGCTTGTTATATATTATTTCATAAGGTGTTCATGCTGTATTATTTCATATGGTGTTTTCATTATATTTTGTTTTTTAACTCTGTTTTTGAAAGGTAGTATCTTCTTTGTTCTCTCTCTCTCTCTCTTTCTCTCTCTCTCTCTCTCTCTCTCTCTCTCTCTCTCTCTCTCTCTCTCTCTCTCTCTCTCTAAGACAGGGTCTCACTATGTAGCCCTGGCTGTCCTGGAACTCACAATATAGAACAGGCTGGTCTTGATCTCATAGAGATCTGCCTGCTAGTATTAAAGGCAGAGACTTAAATTAGGATTTGGCTATCTCTACCCTCCATGCAGAATCCAGCTCCATTTATGGTGTCAACTAAAGCATTGTTAGAGTTAGCAGCCACTGCTTGAAAATACTCCAGAGCTTAGACACACTCTTCTATCCCTGAACTTTGGTACAGGCCAGAAGAAAGGTTTGTGGTCTTTAAGGCCATATTGCCACATAAAAGCTGTACCCCTGGATTTCTACAGCTGTTCTTAATATTCTAATCTGTCTCAAACCCAGAACTGATTAAGTTGCATAGCATTGAGTTATAGTGGTTATTTATGCATTTTTCTCTTACACGGATGTGAGCTCATTGATAACACAGTTTAGCTTGACTGATCCTAGTTTTTATATCCCTCGGTCCAGCAAATGACTAATACTGAGCACATGATATAGTTTACCTGCACCATCACCAGGTTCTTGCTTTCTTCCTCCACAACACTAAAATCTATATGATCAAATTCTTCATTCACAGAAGATGGTGCAATATTTACAGAGACAGTTCCCATCCCACGCACAATGACATGTTCTACCCCAAAGTGATATATGACAAGTGTGTTCATTTATCCAGTGACTCACAGCTGCATTCTTTAATAAATAAATCCTTTTCCTACTGTCAAAAAGTAATAAAGAAAGATAAAATAAATAAGAGACAAATAAATATGAAAGAAACTACTTGCAGCCCAGTGTGAGCCATTTCGCTATGGGCGGTAGCATTAAATCCAAGTTGTGAGTGGAGACATTGCCACAGTAGTATGGATTCACTGCATAGCTTTACTAACAGTGCTTCTAAGAGGCGGGAGTGCATGTCTGGAGCTCAGGCATGTGCAGAAAGATTTCCAGCTCTGTGCAGATGGAAGTTTCAGTACGGTGGTGCCTGAGTTGTCTGAGATGTGAATAAAATGTTGCCATCAAGACATTTAGCCTCCCTCCAGAGAGCTTGCTTTCCCTCATATCCACCAGACTAGTTAGTGTGGGAAGTACAGGTTCCCAAAGAGATACTTTAGTTCTACCCGAGTGTGAGCTAGCAGTCTAATGCAGTGGTCCCACTTGGTGTGGATCCAGTACAGCTACAGATCCAAGATCTGAACTGTGGACCGTCATGGGGCAGCCATTAATCCCAGGATGAGGAAGTGGCATAGTTTGGGAGAATAGAGGCTCCTTTTCCCATTGCCTCAGCAGTTATTTGCCTCATGAGCAAGGCTGTGTTGTTGTGCCTTCCTGGAAAATTGGCTGTTGATCACTTCAGCAGTAATGATGGCAGTATCTTCAGCAGTAATGATGGCAGTATCTTCTGGAGCAGTCCACTTGGGGCCACAGTGGTTCCTACTGCACGGCGATACCTTTCTTTTCTGTTCCTAGACATCTCTTGGCTGCACAGGTATGCTAGTGTCACAGGTGACCCTTTCTGTGGAGAGATCCTGCTCCTTTGTGTCTCCCATGTTGTTACAGTTAGGGCTATGAGTTATTTTGGTTTGTGTATATGTTCTTTCTCATTCTCTTCTTTCCACCCCTGTGTGTGTGTGTGTGTGTGTACATATACATGTTTACGTTGATACTAAAAGTCATCAAGCTTACTGACTTTGCAAAACTTATTTAATTCTAATATTGTATGCTTTGGATGGAACAGGAGTGAATTCACTATAGAGTCAGTCAACAGCTAGAAACTGTGTCATACAAGGTACCAGGTGCTGGAGATATAAAATGAATAGCATGCCCCTGTAACCAGAGAACACTCATTCCAGTATTACAAAAAAAGTACAGATTTTCTGATAAAAGTATGTATGCCAGGTTACAGGTGAAATGGACGGGAGTGTAGCCTAGCATGCTTGTCCTGTTGGGTTCCATTCACAGGACTGCAAAAATTAAACTCAAACAAAAGCTGCATATTAATAAGCGCAAAAAAGCAAGTGATTACTTGTGTATTTTTAATCAAGAACAGCATGAAGAAATGGCCTCAAGAAAGAGGTGATGAGGCTGGAAAATTCTAATTTCAGCATTTATTACTAAGAGTTAGCTGTCATCATATTTTACTACACATGAAAAAGTCTGGTTCTTTGTAGCATAATGTTTGCTTTTGTATTCATTCCTTAAATATCTAACTTGGCAGGTCATATTGTTTTATGGAATGCTTTGGAGTGATTTCTCCATCTCAGGACCTTTAGGATCTCCCTCTAATTCCCACAATGGGCTTTGTTGCAGGCAGCTCTGGGAATTTTCTGTCATACATTGCTCTTTCTGGATTGAATACTGGTAATTCCAGATTCTCTAGAGCAAACATGACCCTTGTTATTTTTAGGCACCTAGATCAGATAAGCTATTTTCAGTGGCTGCCTTAAAATGTTAAATAAACCCTATTTAAAATCTTTTCATAATATTTTATTTTAAATCAGCAGTTCCATGGTGGTGAAGATTTTAATAGTTACTAAGAACCTTTGTTTAGTACAGTTTGCTCATAGGCAACTGTTGTAGCTGTGTGGGTTTTTATTTGTGAGATACCATATTTTTAAAATACTACCTTCAAACCTAGCTTAGTAGTATCTACATACTAGTCATCTAGTAATTACTTCAGCTATTAATATGTACAAACTGATGCTTTATTTTGTCCCAGATATTGACTGTAGGATGTGTTTACACTAGTCCATGTTTGAAAACTAATATCCAATATATTTACAAAAGGATAAAACTGAATATTTTCATCTTTATCCATCATTAATGGAGGGCCTGGAAAAGGGTATTTGAAGAACCTTTTCCTTTGTGACAAAACTGTATAAATGTAGTTATAGATAAATGGTTATACATACAAAACTTAGAACTGTTCTGTGATTTAAGTCACTTCCTCTTTGAGTCGCATGTGGTGTGTGTGTGTGTGTGTGTGTGTGTGTGTGTGTGTGTAATTGAAACCCAGAGACTTACACATGGTTGATACATATTACCGCTAAGCTAAATCCTAGGCCTAAGTGTCCAGGTTGGCCCTGTACTCATGGTTTCCTGCCCTTACCTTGTGGAGCTTTTTGAGTACTGTTATTAACCACCCTTGTGGGCGAAGTATTTTAGTGAAATTAATCAACTCTTTATTTTCCATTTGTATTGATGCGTAGGCATGCATTTTTTTTTTGTTTTTTGTTTTTATTATTATAAACTAAAACCACATCAAATCTAACAGGGTTCTCTTTAAAGCAGTCAGCGTAACTTAAGACCACATCCTGTTATTACCATGAGGGAATGGCTTTGTCAATTGACTTAGACACATACTGGGGGCCTGTCCTTGCATTTTACATGCCAGTGGAGTTTGTGAGTCAGCTTACTTGATCACAGAGGATATGGGATTTACACAGGGTATCATACATAACCAAGACTTTACTGTCAGCCAGGGTAAAAAGTGACTTTACTGTAAGCTGGGCTAAAAAGTTATTACATTTGAGAGAAAATTATATGTTCTCTAAAACTGTGTGCTGTTGTCGTGATTTCCTTCAGACATGCAAAAATGTACTAGGTGTTCATTTTGACTGAGCTCGCTGTAGGACTTAAAAACAAGAGTAAAAAGCAGACATACACATCAGTGTGACCACAGTGTTTCCCTTTCATTTTTTGCTCACTGCAGATTTTCTTGACAAAGTTAGTCTTTTATGAAGAGTGCTAAGGTACACAAACATTTTCCTACTGATCACATAATAGTGCAAGAATCTTTTATAATCTTTAAATATTTTGTTAGTTCAATGTAATTTTTAAATGAGGCTCATTCAGGCATTGACTAGAATTTGAGTCACGCTTGTATTAGCTGATGAAATTGTCTGTTTATGTTAAGGAAATATGGTCCCATCTGAAGGTCCATATATACCACAACCAGTATTTGTTTTGAAAATGAAGTGAAATGTTCCAGAGTAAAATCTTTAGTTGTACAGCCTTCATGTTATTTTTTTTTTTACAACAAAACTGTGTTTGTGATTTCATGTAGAATATGTTCAATGCCTCTGGAATATTCTTTTATTTGAAAATGTGCTTATAAGGCTTGAAGGTCATTTCTTTCTCCTTTGTAAAATGTTCTTTTCTAAAAATAAAAGTGCCTTTAGGCTTAGCAGAATCCATCTCTGAGAAGGCCCATACTTCAACAGGCATGTGTTTATTGAATGCCTACTATGTGCATTCATCTCATTGCCTGTAATCTTCTCAGGCAGTCTCATCCACTTTATTCTGACAGCTTGCCTCCTTCCTCAGCCCTAGGTATGTGTTTCAGATTTTTCTCTTGTTACCTACTTATATTTGAGTATACTGAGGGCAAAAACACTAACCCTGGGGAAGTAGCGTTTGAACTACTGGAGCTTTGACTTTGTGGGCTGTGGGTTATGAACGATGGGTTCACAACTGGAAAAAACGCCATGTAGAAGGGGTAAAGTTTCTGGCCACATTCTTCATATAGCTATCTCTACTGTCCCTTATAATTCTATAAAATCATTCAGGCTACATTAAAATCATTCTAGAAATGGATAGTGGTGATAGTCGAACAACAATGCAAAAATGGCATACTTCAAAATGAACCGTGAATATATCAGCTACTCTCCAGGGCAGAGACCATCCCAACACAAATTAAACTCTATGTTTTGTTTGTATTTTTAAGAGAAAAAGCATGAAGTTGGGTGGGGATAGAGAGGTGGGGTCAGAGCTGGGATATGCTTCCTTGGTGTTTCTTTTTTGACTGTGCTCCCTCAGGCCTTGCCTGAGTCCAGAATACTCTCCTGCGAAGCTTGTCTCTAGAAATAGAGGGATCTAAAGAAGACAGCCACAAAAACCTCTCAAATCCCTGGCTTGTTTCAAAGTTCCAGGGAACAGCTCGCTTACTGCTAGGAAGCCTTATTTTCCGACGTAGAAGTTACTCAGTTGTGACTTGAGAAAACTCAGCCATATATCCTGTTTTGTGAGGTCACTGCTTATAAGCTTTCTATGCATCCATTTTGGTGACAGTTGGAAAGCTTCCATTTTGAAATGGCACAAACCAAATGGCATGCATTGTTTTTTAACTAGAAAAACAGGTGCTTTCGTTCATGCAGAACAGCAAAGTAGAAGCATATTTTATAGGGACTTTCTTTTAAATGTCAGGCACACAGGAACCATTCTGAGTGCACGTGGTAGAAGGAGTAGAGTTTCTTATTAGAAACAAGTCTGTGGTGAGTGAATAAATCTTAATTTATAAGTCATTATAAGAATTTTTTTTTCTTCCTCTTAAAACAGGTAAAACCGTACCGCGTTCGCAGTTGTCAGGTTCTCAGTGCCTGACGATACAAAGCACAGAGGCTCCTGTGTCTACATTAGAAAATAAGACATAGATGCCCACAATAATAGGGGAGGCAGCAGAGGTCTCGTAGCCATCATGTAATACAAGTGCTTTGCTTCCTGGGTTCAAGCTCGACTGCAATGGTGGAACAAAGTGGACAGCAAGATTACTGGAGGGGGTGTGAAGAGGATAGGGACACTTTCTCTTATATCTCCCACATAGAAACAGGTTTACCAGGGGTTGGAGAGGTGTCTCATCAGCTAAAATGCCTGACATGCAAGGATCAGGACCAGAGTTCAAATCCCTGCAACCTAGGTAGAAGTTCTGTAAGTACATATGGCCTTTCATCCCAGCCTGCTAGAAGCAGAGACAGAAAACCCGCAGAGCAAGCTGTCTAACCAGACTAGCCAAAACAGTAACTTCAAAGTTCAGTGGGGGGGACCCTAAAACACTGGTCTCTGTATATAAGGTAGGTAGAAAGGAATGCAGGAAGCCATTCACCTTCAGGCTTCTACACACGTGTGTTTCCAGACACGTGAAAACTGTGTATGTGCGCACGCGCGCGCACACACACACATCATGCATACCCATGTACAAGAAAAAAGACTTCCTGTGTGTCTTATATTTGTTCTATGTGAACATTCTCTCCCTAACTCCAGAGTAAGCTACATCCCAGCTTCCCTACAATGTCAATACAACTGTCCTCATCTCATGAGTGTTTGTATCTCTGGAGTCCATTTCCTGCCTTGATAAAGTTCCAGTCCCATGGAAATGTTGCACACATTAAATTGAACCCCTGAATGCTGTTGTGTAATGTTAAAAGTACGAATGCTAGTAGCAGTGACCCACAACTGAGGCTTTCAAGTGACAAAAATAGTACATGTGTCATAAGTTGAAGCATAGCAATGACCATTTTCCGCTAGTAAAATGGTTAATGTAGAAAACTGTAGGTAGTACCTCTGGCATACTTCATGCTATGCTACTATGGAGTCATGTATGTTAAAATTATCTTTGAGAGCATCTATCCCCGCCCCCTTCTCCTGGAACCTAGACGTTATTTTAATGAGGAAGCACAGGCTTCAAAAACTTAAATATTTTACTTGGAAATGGGCTAACAGAACACAATTCATTCACAGCGTGAGCTGCTGTCAGCCTAGTTAAACCTGCCTTTCCACCTCTAGTCAAGTCTCTGGTCTCACAAATTTTCAGCGAATACCATTCATGGACTGCTATAGAGAAAGAAGTTTTTCAAGCTATGTCTGAAAGAAAGAGGAAGTTGGTGATTTATTTTAAAAAGGTTTTATGGGGGGGGGTGCAGGAGATCAAATCTAGTGCCTCATAGAGTGCTACTGTACTATTCTGGTCATCGTGTATTGATCCAATAGAGCTAGAAGTGTGTGTGTGTGTGTGTGTGTGTGTGTGTGTGTGTGTGTGTGCGCGCGCGCGCGTGTATTTTATAGTGCATTTCTTTATATCTCACCTATAAGCATTTTCGCTTGTTCAGCTCCCAATGAAGTGTCAGGCTTGGAACTTAACAATCTGTAGCTGTCATAGTAAACTACATGTTCTCATTTCATGGGGGGGATTTATTTTAATTCCAAGTGTTGCAAACATATTAAAATTATGGCTGGTAAAAGTTCTAAAATGTATTAAAACAAATGGAACAATGCAAAATGTCTTCACACTCTAAAATTACACAGATAGCATTCAAAAATTTCCACAGAATCCACTTGCCTCCTTACGTTTTTATGTAAATTATACTTTTCCTTCAATATTACTCCAGATAGTGACTTAAAGTTATCGTTCCTTTTCTGGCTTTTATAAAAACTAGAAAGAGTTAAATAGTGATGTGTGGCACTTATGTATGTTTAGATGCCTTGTTTAGATAGGTTTGCAAGAGGTACAGGAATCTGACTCTTTGTAATTTTCTATGGAAAGATAATATATATATTCTGGGTCCCAAACAACTGTGTTAACATCTGTATTTATAACCAGTGGACTGGTTACTATGTAAGATTTAAGTTATTTTCCATATGTGATTTGGGGCCAGGCATGTAACTATTAAATTGTTTTATGTCCTTACAGGGTTCAAAACTATGGATTATAATGGAATATCTAGGTGGAGGTTCAGCTTTGGATCTTGTGAGTATTTTAAACTGTAATTATGTAAACTGTAGCTTTTGGGCAAGCTAAGTTATTCAGGAAAGATGTTCACCTTGAACTTTGTTTTGGGTAATGCGCACAAACTGTATTACAGATTTGGTCATGCTGCTGACAATCTTCGGGTATACAAGAAATACAAATATCTCAGTAAAATAAAGTCATGAATTCAGAGTCAATGTTTGCCAATTGCTGTCAGTTTTGACATTTTTATGCTTCCCTTAATACCGAATATTCTTGGAGTTAATAAAAATACATTATGGGGGATGGAAAGATGGGTCACTGGTTAAGAGCACTGGCTGCTCTTCTAGAGGACCCAAGTTTGATTCCCAACACTCAGCTGGCAACTCACAGCTAGCTGTGCTTCCACTTCCAAGGGATTCAGTGCCTTCTTCTGGCCTCCTAGGCACCAAGCACATAAGTAGTGTAATGCCATGTATATCCATAAAATAATAATCAAAGAAAAACTTTAAATACCATTATTGAGATAACTGTCACTAACACTGATCATGAACCAAACGTTTGAGTCTTTGAAAATGTGTGTGTCAACACTCTCACCCCCAACATGATTGTATTAGGAGAGATATTGAAGTCATGAGAATGGAGCCTTCAGGGATGCAACAGTATTCTTGTCAAAGTGATCCCTGGAGGCCTCTGTAACTTTCCTTCTATTATGTGAGCATATAATGAAGGCCATCTGGAAACCAGGAAGAGTGGTCTCAGGAGATATCCATCTGCCTAGACCCCCAGAACTGAGAAATCCGTGTTTGCTGTTTAATTCAGCCTGTCTGAGATGCTCTGTTATAGCAACCTGAGGTGGGTAAGACTGAGGTGTTTTTTTAATCCACTTGGCATGTAGATATGGCTTTCTAAAGAGGGATTTCTGCTCCTCAGTAGGTCATTTGAAAATGTCGTGTTCCCCCCCCTCCTTTGGTTGTTAAAAGAACTGAAAAGTGTTACTATCGTTGCATTTTTAAATTGTGTACATTATCATTTATTAATCTACTTATTATGAGGGCGGAGAAGGGGTGCACACAGTCCTTGGGTTACATAAGAAAGTTAGAGGGCACGTTACCAAAGTCTGTTCTCTCCTCCTACCCTGTGCATTCTGGGAATTGAATTAGGTCACTGGGTTTGATGGCAAGTGCCTTTACTCATTGAGCCATCTACTAGTCCATTTTCCTAAAATCTGGTGGTGTGTAGCTCCACCCAATGAAGACATGTTCACTGATTGTTTTTCCTAAATTGTTGTGACGATATCAAAGTTGATCCCTCCCTTGAAAAATTATGAGTGTGCAATATATTTAAAATGTAATATAAATTATAATAGTAAACTTGTTATATATTGATCATTGGATGGACATATATTGGTTTGAAGTTCTCCATCTGGCTGTAGTCATCAAGGTCTGTTACTTTGAAGAAGACACATAGACTCTTTGGACTTGGAGATCCTGTAGCACAAAGAACTAAGTTCTTATATTTTTAATAGTATGTGACATATTTGGGGGTTTTGTCCTTTTGTGTTTAAGGCCCAGAATGTCCTGGAACTCATAATCTTCCTGCCTCAACATCCCTGAGTGTTCCAACTTGTTTTGAGGCAGGATCTTCAAACCCTCTCATATACACTCCTTAACTCTCTTTCAGATCATGACCTCTTTCTTCATTGTTATTACATGACTATGTGCACACATGTGTGTTCCTAAATATAATTTCCATCTTTTACCACTTTCAATTCCTTTCTTCAATACTTAAAATTTTTAACTGTAGAATTCTTTCACTTTCTAGGTTAGATATATGTAAATTCCAAAGTATTTTATGTCTTTGAAACAATGGTAAATGAGATGACTTCCCTAGTTTCTCTTGTTTTTAGCATGTTTGCTATTGGTATATATAATGGATATTTATTTTTGTGTGTTAAATTTGTATCCTGTCATGAAAGTGATGAGGCTGGAAAAATGGCTCAGTGGTTAAGTGCATTGGCTGTTCTTCCAGAGGACCTATATTTGATTTCCAGCACCCCTTGGCAGCTAACAACTGTCTGGATACATACATGTAGACAAGATACTAATGCACACAAAATAAAATCCTTAGCCCTGACTGCCTTAAATTTTCAAAAAATATTATGACTAAAAAGATGTCTGAGAGATTTTCTTGGTGGGAGGGTGGATGTTCCATACTTAAAACTATTCCACAGAAACGACAATTAATCTTAATGGAGAGCCTCACCTCCTAGGAATGCATGGTAGCTTATGCATTTATCCAGTTTGTTAATCCATCCTTGACTTTACCCTTAATCTTCACTATTTCTCTCTCCTTTCCAGTGCAGCAACTTCTTATAGAAAAAAAATCTTCCATGCATATGAGTTTAAGCTCTGTTGTCTTGAACATGAATGACCATATTTCTATACCACCAGGTCTTGCCGTTGCTCAGCTCTACCTCTCCAATTCCGTAAACACTGATAGCCCTTTGCGGGTTCATCACTTACTTTGGGTCCCCTAAGACACTCATCATATCTTTCCTCTGTTTTATAGGCATTGGAAAAGCTACACTCACTAATAGTAATGTGATCTATTGTCTGCTGGCACAGTCCCAGCTAACAACCCTAACCTGCATCCACTACTAATAGTTTGGTCAGTTTAATGTAATGCCTGAGTCAAACAAACATATTTCCTTTATCTCATATTGCTACCTACTTCTTCACAAAAGACAAGTGGCAGGTTAATATAAACATAATGAATGTAACCATATTGGTTAAAAGTCTAGGTACCCAATCCCAGCTCTATTAAATGGCTCACTGATACTGAGCATGTCAGTTACGCTGTGACTTAATCTCCTCAAATGTTAAATTAGGTGAAGAAAATGGGTTAGAAAGCTCTAGTTCTGCTTTTCTAGCTAAAACTAAAATTAACAATACTATTGTTTAATTATACAGCAAAGAAGATACTGAGATAGCATGTTGCTCCTTCTCAATGTATAGTCATAGGTGAAAGCAATCACTTTTGGTTATCCAAGAATTTGTGGAGAAGCTAGAGTAAACAAGATGGATTCTGAGCAGACTGTTTCTCCATTCAAACTGGCACTCAACTAATTGAATAACATGACACTATGAATTGTGATTTATTGTCAGGACTATACACTGTACACCTCAAGCGTCTTATTCCAGGAAAGCCATTCCTTGCAGATGAACAGACTTTGACCATATTAGATGCAATGTTATGGAATTTATTATTTTCTGCTTCTATCTAAAACATTTACATGGTCTTGCACAAAGACATTGGGTAGCGTGGATAAGGCATGAGCCCCATGGAAAGAAGCCTGGAACAATATTCCTAGTTATGAAAGGAGGCCTACTGTAGCATGCTGCCTCGGGGACTGGCAGGAAGTGAAAGGAATGCAGGGAAAACCCATAAACCCGCAAGTGCAGGGTCTTTAAAAGACCAATTGTCCCTCTTCTGCATATCCTTACTTTCAAACCCAGGCAGATTATACAAGGCAGGTATGTTGCCCTGGGGCAGAGGCTTAGAACTTTGCAAAGCAGTTTCAGTTAAGCATTCCAAGGCCTTGGCATTATATCTCCCAAGGTTGTATTTGAAATTAAAAGGGAGAAAAAAGAGAGAGAAAGAAAAAGAAAACAAGCAAACATCTCCTCTAGTGTTCCATCTATGTGACATTCCTTCTGTTCCCAGCATACTTTGTTCTCTTTTTGTCACGACTGCCAGCACACCTTAGGAAATATATGCACTACTAGGTTTGAGACTATTTTTGGTATGGTAATGTTCCAGAAGAATCCACCCCCCCCACCATCCCATATCCTTCCCGCCCCATCCCCCTCACCACCACTACAAAGTATTCCCCTTTCAGCCTCCAGTTGAAATTTTACTTAGAATTTTCAACAAATCCTAAATTATGTCATATAGTATTGACTCTTTAAGACCCACTTCATTTTTATAGAACTTTTAAAAGTTCTATATTAGGAAGTGAATTGAGGTATCTATCCCTCACTTAGAAACCCTTCAAAATGATAGTAGGTGACCTTAAATTGTCCTTGCCCAATTTCTTAAGTAGCCAAGAGTATGCCTCTGGCCCTGCCAATGTTTTATGATCATGTGTTAAATTCCAGTCTTAACTCATATGATTATTTAGTTGTTCCACTGGATTTTGGCAGCCATCAATAAAATAATGTCTTACTTTAACCTTTAGAATCAAGTTAATCACTAAACTTTAAATTAAAAAAATGAGGTAGAAGTTGATAGATTTGAAAGTAAATAGATAATGTTACCTCGGAATGGGATCTATTGAATTACAGACATCCCTGGAGGATACAGTGTACCCAGGCCACTCTTAATAGTGAATGGTGAAACCAAAGTACAAGGTCTATTTAAGCTGTTAAATTTGGACATAAACGTGCCCTTTATTCAGTATAAATATGGCATTCATGGAAAGATGAAATACACAAGGTGCCAAAGAACTCTGAACCCCTCCCAGTGTGAGGCAGAATAGGCAATGTATGATTTGTACCTCCTCGCCCCTCCTTCCAGCAAACAGAACTCTACCTCCCTCTGACTTCAGCTTCCCACCCTTCCTGTAATAATATTGTACAGGTCACTGTTTGTGCTTTATGAGGTACCAGAATTTTTAAATGACCATTTATTTTAAAGAGATTTTTGGGTATTCCATTACAAGTTCTCCTGAAACCTAATGATTGCTTTCCTTGTCGTCCAGTTGGTTCAGGGGTGGGAAAAGGAAGGTAAGTGTGTTCCGTTTATTTGAAAAATATTATTCCTCCATGATCTGAATTTTTTACAATGAGAGTCTGAATAGTTTCGTTATTATATTCCTGGCTGAATTTAAATTAGGAATGTCTGATTGAAAAACCACTTCAGTGTTAATATGTACTGACTGTTTAAAAGGAAATGCAAAATTCAGGCAGCTGGCTTCTTTTGTTTTTGCATTCTCATTTTATCATTTTATCTAGTCATTGTGCATAGTGTGGTGTGACATAAGGACACTGACATACACACACATGTATTTATACACTAAGTGTTTTTCCTTTCATACCCTGAAACCCCGGCTTCTTAATCTTCCTGTTAGTCCCTGTTGTTCCCTTCGAGAGTTTTACTCCCTAAATAACAGATTCATTCCACCTTTCCTCATATAACAGCATTCCCATTATCATTTACATGTATCTTTTGAATTTGGAATATAAATTTTAGGACCCTCAGAATTTGGAGCAGTTAATGTGTAGGTAAAAAATGCTCATTAGCTGACCTTTCAAGATAAATCACTTATTTGTGTGTAAACGGATAGCTTGTTTTTAGACAAAATCTCATATTGTCTGGGCTCTCCTGTAGCCTGGGCTAGCCTCAAACTGTCTATGCAGCCAGAATTAACTTAAACTTCAGACCCTCCTGTATCCATCTCCAAAGTGCTGGAATTACAAGCATGTGAATCCACACCCAGTTTATGGGAGTTGAAGTTCTAACTTGGAGTTTTGCTCATGTCAGACACATATGTTACCGGCTAAACTGTATCACCAACCTACAAATTAATCATTTAAAAAGCTGTACAGCCATTTGACATGACCCTTTTACTATCATTTCTCCTTTTTAAGTTTTTCTCCTCATGTGTTCAAATGTTGGCTTAATAAACTATTTCAGATACCTAAATGATCCCTAAGTTTCAGAACTACCAATTTTGAATTTATTTTACAAAAATTTTAAAGTGTGTGTGTGTACATGTGTTTTCTTCTTAAGCTACGTGCTGGTCCATTTGATGAATTCCAGATTGCCACCATGCTCAAGGAGATTTTGAAAGGTCTGGACTATCTACATTCTGAAAAGAAAATTCACCGAGACATTAAAGGTATACAAAAGTCAAATAGAAGCCTGAGAAAAACATATTTTGGGGAAACTGAGGGATACTGACTTTGTTTTTCTTTGACCCCCTAGCTGCCAATGTCTTGCTTTCTGAGCAAGGTGACGTTAAACTTGCTGACTTTGGAGTTGCTGGCCAGCTGACAGATACACAAATTAAAAGAAACACCTTTGTGGGAACTCCATTTTGGATGGCTCCCGAAGTTATTCAACAGTCAGCTTATGACTCTAAAGTAAAGTATTCCCCATACAGATGGAATTAATTGAATGTAGCCTTGTCAATAAGCTTTTTAATGTTTCCTTCCTTCACAAGGGCTTCTAAAAAATTGTGTCATATTTTGTTTCTGAATCATAAATCCCATTGGTGTTGGTAATATTTGAGCCCTAATTATTTCAATGGCTTTTCATCCCACTTGGAATAAAATCTGGAGTCCTCATAGTCGCATATAAGGCCACTGATTATCTGGCCATTGTCTGTCTATCCATCCTTGTCTTCAAGCGCTGTCATCCATACTCTCTTTGCTTCGGCTGTTATGGCCTCATTGTTCCTCAAACACAAGTACAGTTTTTTTTTATAATTTTTTATTTAAATTTGAAACAAGCTTGTTTTATATATCAACCCCAGTTCCCGCACCCTCCTGTCCTCCCTTGTTCCCCTCACCAACCCCCATCCCATCCCCTTTCTGCTCCTCAGGGAGGGTGAGGCCTTCCATGGGGATCTTCAAAGTCTGTCATATCATTTGGAGCAGGGCGTAGGCCCAGGCCCTCCCCCCATGTGTCTAGGCTGAGAAAGTGTCCCTCTGTGTGGAATGGGCTCCCAAGGTCCATTTGTATACTAGGGATAAATACTGATCCATTGTCAGAGGCTCCATAGACTGCCCAGTCCTCCTAACTGACACCACATTGAGGGAGTCTGTGTCAGTCCTAGGCTGGTTCCCAGCTATCAGACTGGGGTCCATAAGCTCCCCCTTGTTCATGTCAGCTGTCTCTGTGGGTTTCTCCAGTCTGGTCTTGACCCCCTTGCTCATCACTTCTTCCTCTCTGCACCTGGATTACAGGAGTTTGGCTCAGTGTTTAGCTGTGAGTGTCTGCTTCTGGTTCCATCAGCTACTGGGTGAAGGCTCTAGGAAGGCTCTAGGACTACCTTATAAGGTAGTCATCAATCTCATTATCAGGGAAGGGCATTTAAGGTAGCCTCTCCAGTTTTGCTTAGATTGTTAGTTGGGGTCATCCTCGTAGATCTCTGGACATTTCCTTATTGCCAGATTTCTCTTTATACCTATAATGGCTCCCTCTATTATGGTGTCTCTTTTCTTGCTCTCCTCTAGTCTTTCCCTCACTCATTCTTCCTGCTCCCTCATGCCCACCTCTCTCCTACTCTTCCCCATAACTCCCTCTCCCCTCCCTCCATGCTCTCAATCTGCTCAGGACATTTTGTCCCTTTCCCCTTCTCTAGGGGAACATGTATGTCTCTCTTCGGGTCCTCCCTGTTTCCTAGCTTCTCTGGCAGTGTGGATTATAGGCTGGTGATCCTTTGTTCTATGTCTAAAAACCATACATGAATGAGTACATACCGTGCTTGTCTTTTTGTGACTGGGTTGCCTCACTTAGGATGATTTCTTCTAGTTCCTTCCATCAATTCGCCTGCAAATTTCAAGATTCCATTGTTTCTTTCTGCATTTTCTCCATCCATTCTTCAGTTGAGGGGCATCTAACTTGCTTCTAGGTTCTGGCTATTACAAATAATGCTGCTATGAACATAGTTGAACAGATGTCCTTGTTGCATGAATGTGCATCTTTTGGGTGTATGCCTAAGAGTGGAATTGCTGGATCTTGAGGTAGACTGATTCCCATTTTCCTGAGGAACCATCATACTGATTTCCAGCGGCCCTACCTGTTTGCACTCACACCAGCAGTGGAGGAGTGTTCCCCTTTCTCCACATCTTCTCCAGCATAAACTGTATTTGGTGTTTTTGATTTTAGCCATTCTATGGGAGCAAGATAGTATCTCAGAGTAGTAGGGATAAATACAATTACATTTTGACCTCAGTGCTTTCCCCTTTGTCTGGAATAGCCTTGCTCCCAGTGAACTCTCTCTAAGCATCCCTAACCATCCCACATCAACATGTAACTCCGTTCTCTGCTTTGCTCAGTATTCCCTTATTCTGCTTTTTGTTTCCCCACAGAACTGAGTCCCATATGACATTGTTACTCATTTATCTGCCTTTCTTATTAGAATGTAAGCCTCTTCACGGCAAGGATTTTCACCTGGTTTGTTTAGCACTCAAGTAGTGCTGTGCCTGTACAGAATATGGGATTTAAAGTATTCATTGATGAATTCCATTAATTAAAATTGTAATTCACCACATTTTTTGACATGTCAATGTTACTGTTTCTGTTTTTAGGCTGACATTTGGTCTTTGGGAATTACTGCTATTGAACTAGCCAAGGGAGAGCCTCCAAATTCTGACATGCACCCAATGAGAGTTCTGTTTCTTATTCCAAAAAACAACCCCCCAACTCTCGTTGGAGACTTTACGAAGTCTTTCAAGGAGTTTATTGATGCTTGCCTGAATAAAGATCCATCATTTGTGAGTATATGTCCTTATTACCACTGGTGGTTTCCAGATGTTCTATCTACTTCTAACAAAGGTGGTGTTTTCTATGGTGGAGAATATGAATGCCTGTGAAAAACATCTTTGATCCACCCACAAAGCTTGTTTCTCCTTCTGTATTTCTAATTCCACTCTGTTTGTAGCCAGATCCTTGGTCCTGTTTTCTCCTCCCTGACATCATCTTCTTGGTCCTCAACTACCTGATCATTTCCTATTTCAAGGAGAAAATTTGGAGAAATGAGTAATTGGCTTTCTATTCCTTCTTATTAAAGTAGGCTTGTACTGTTAGTGAGGGAATTGATTACATTTATTATCTGTCCTACTGTTGTTAAAATAAAACTGCCTTTCACTCTTGGTGATTAGAAATACATGAGCACCTTTCTAAGCTGGATGTAAGTATTTTATGTTGACACTGAACATTATAACATTAATGAAACCCTGAAGGGAGCATATTCCCCACAGCACTTGCTGTTTGCATTTATGTACAATAGGAATTAGTGTTTCACAGAAAAGCATATACTAAGATGTGGGCAGATAAGGACAAAATTAGGTATTCATAAGGTGTGCAGATGATAACAAAATTATAGCAATCTTGCTCATTTGCATAATTTTTTCAAGTTACAGTCAATGTAATAAAGTGTCTTAAAGTGTTGTTTTGACATTTTTAGATAGTTACTTTCTAAGTCCCGCTATTGCTGAGAAAGCTTTGTTGAGTGGCATGCTGGTGAGGTATCCTAGCATCTGTCTACTGTGCTTTAACAAATTAGGCTGCTAAAACAGCAAATTTAAAGTTGCTACCTTGACTCATTTCAATTGTCAGTTTTCCTATTGCATGTTAAATGTCCTTCTGTCCATAGATTCAGTTTTGTAGATTTCCATTTAATAATTCAAATGATGTCTCTCTGAAAGATCCTCAAAATGGTCCCTAGTCCTTCTTTTCTTTGTGTGTGTCTGTACCTTAGCGTCCTACAGCAAAAGAACTTTTGAAACATAAGTTCATTGTAAAAAATTCAAAGAAGACTTCTTATCTGACTGAACTGATCGATCGATTTAAGAGATGGAAGGCCGAAGGACACAGTGATGATGAATCTGACTCCGATGGCTCTGACTCGTATGTACTTGTTACTGCCATTCTTATGTAGGCAGCCTGTTTTCATATTCTCTGCCTTTTTGCAATGACCTAGTGTGCTTGCTTTAGACTAAGTTATAAATCGCAGTCAGAGGGCTTACTTCGGCCACTGTGAAGTTTCTTTACAGTTCATGGAATACAGTAAGTTTGGAAACTTGCTTTGGAAGAGAAAAGCTCTGCTCTGCTTTTAAATGGTCTCGGTCTAACCCCTAGTGGATACTTGAGTATATTACAAAATTTTGGAATACAATTTGATTAAAAGTATCCTATTAGTTCACCAGAAGCAATATGGAACTATGCTTTCTCATAGTGTGATTACAACCTGCAAAACCCTTTTGAGAACTGATCTTGTGGCCTTTGCTATTTCCTGGTCCCAAACCAAACTTCTCAGACTGACCTGTGAATTGCGACACCTATTTACTTATGTATGATTTTTACCCTGTGGGCAAGTTAGTCTGTTTGAAAAATGGCAGTATCTCTGCTTCTGTGTGCTTATTTTAACTTGAGTTGAAGAATTCAAGGGCTGCACCAGGGTTTAGTCTTTTGGTATGTAGACCTTCACAGAGATAGCACCCTATGTCTTCACACAATATTTTCAGGCACCTGCTTTTATGAGAAATTGTCCAATATTTGAAATGAATAAAATAGATCAGGATATAGTTTGTGCCTCATTTAAGGCTTCTTAATCTTAACTGCCTATGAAAACTTCATGATAGAACTTTTAAAAACACAAGGCAGTCTACTAGGATTCGTAATTTAGGTGTAGGGGAATGTCAAAATTAACAATATAGTGCTATGCACATAGGATTTGAAGGATCAGATCAGTTGGAGCTGATAAATGCTGCTGTTCTTGAGTCAAATAGAGTACACACCTGAAACAGGTCAGATGCCATGTTGTATGGTGAGTTTGTAAACACTGACACAGTGCGATCTTCAGATTTGGTGTTTTTGCCATGTCAAACTACTTAGTATCTTTGGCATCTCTTTAGGGAATCCACCAGCAGAGAAAGTAATACTCACCCTGAATGGAGTTTCACCACTGTGCGTAAGAAGCCTGATCCAAAGAAACTACAAAATGGGGAGGTTTGTATATGGAACTCATCCCTTTATTTATTAGCATACAAAGTAGTAGATTTCATCATATCATCTTTATATACATGGCATTATAATTTTTCTTATCTCATCATGTCCTCCTTATAGACTATAAAAATGGTGTGATGAGATTATAAAAATCTATGAGAGTATAATACCCCTGCATGCCTGCATATATCACTATATGCATAAGAATGTTCATTTGTCATTAATTGTGACCTAAGTAAGTCATAGAAGTCATTTAAATGATCAATGTTATCTTTAAAATGCATTTCCATGTAGAGATGTAAACCTAGGGAATCAAATATCTATTGGAATCCTAGAAGTTAGGGGACTTCCAGTGATGGATGAGAATTTGTGACAGAAAGAAAACATAGAGGCTGGCCTTATCTTGGGCTTTTCACATTTGCTATCAAATAACTAAGAAAAGCCATGAATGATTATTTTAATTTCGTGTGTGTAATCTGTATCATTTCTTCAAAGGAGCAAGAACTTGTGCAAACCTTGAGCTGTTTGTCTATGATAATCACACCTGCATTTGCTGAAGTAAGTATGGGTTATTTAGTATCCGCTATGTGTCTCAAGTGGCAGGGTATTATAAATGTTCTAACTATCATTCTTCTTCAGCTTAAGCAGCAGGATGAAAACAATGCAAGGCGAAACCAAGCAATTGAAGAACTTGAGAAAAGTATTGCTGTGGCTGAAGCTGCCTGTCCTGGCATCACAGATAAAATGGTGAAGAAATTAATTGAAAAGTTTCAAAAGTAAGTTTGAAGTATCGTTTTCCAAATGATGTTGACATTTTGGATGTTGATTCATGATGAAATATGGTTACTTTGATGCATTCATTTATATTTTCCCCAGAAAAATCGCTTTTTAATAGTTGTATGCTTGAAAGTAGTTTTGTTTCTTGCCCATCTTAAACATTGCTTTTTGTAAGAATGTGTATGCGTTTGTATGAGCATGCATGCATGCACTGGATCTGGGCATGCACTTGGGTACGTGGGTGAGCTGTCTTGCAAATGGGCCTGTGTAGGAAATAGATCAATATAGGATTTTTTACCCTATTACTTTCCACCTTATGTTTTGAGGCAGGGTCTCTCACTGAACCCGGAACTTGCCTTTTTAGCCAGACAATGTATCCAGTGATTCCCTTGATTTGTCCTCCAATGCTTAAGTTATGGGACTCAGTCACAGCTGAAAAGAACATGGGCACTAGGGGTATGGATTCAAGTCCTTGTGCTTGGACCTCAAGCGTTTAGACCACTGAGGCTGTCCAGTATTAAAGGTAGTTTTCTACTGAACCAAACGGCCCAGGTTTTTGCCCTCTTTTTTTCTGTTGGGATGAAATTTGGTCACATGAAACATTATACATGTTTCTGTTCTTAACAGTACTCTTAGTATTCACAGAAACACTACTATTCTGTTTCTTTCCGGTAATGAAGTTCCTACATTTGAACCCTTATTAAATATTAATTAAGAGATTTAGAGAAGCTGGGAATTGGTGGTTCACACCTTTAATCCTCCACTCAGGAGGAAGAGGCAGGTAGATTTCTGAGTTTGATGCCAGCCTGGTCTACAAAGCTAGTTCCACACAGGCTCCAAAGCAATATAGAGAAACCCTGTCCCAAAAAACAAAAACAAAACAAACGAACAAAACCAAAAAAACAAACAAACAAAAAAGATTTAGAGAGAAGAGTTTAGAGCAGCAGTACCCTTCCTAATGCTGGGACCTTTAATACAGTCCTTATGTTGATGGTCTAGACAGTGGTTCTCACCCTTCCAAATGCTGTGAACGTTAATGCAGTTCCTCATGTTGATGGTCTAGACAGTGGTTCTCACCCTTCCTAATGCTGTGACCTTTAATACAGTTCCTCATGTTGATGGTCTAGACAGTGGTTCTCACCCTTCCTAATGCTGTGACCTTTAATACAGTTCCTCATGTTGATGGTCTAGACAGTGGTTCTCATCCTTCCTAATGCTGTGACCTTTTATACAGTTCCTCATGTCGATGGTCTAGACAGTGGTTCTCACCCTTCCTAATGCTGTGACCTTTAATACAGTTCCTCATGTTGATGGTCTAGACAGTGGTTCTCACCCTTCCAAATGCTGTGACCTTTAATACAGTTCCTCATGTTGATGGTCTAGACAGTGGTTCTCATCCTTCCTAATGCTGTGACCTTTTATACAGTTCCTCATGTCGATGGTCTAGACAGTGGTTCTCACCCTTCCTAATGCTGTGACCTTTAATACAGTTCCTCATGTTGATGGTCTAGACAGTGGTTCTCATCCTTCCTAATGCTGTGACCTTTTATACAGTTCCTCATGTCAATGGTCTAGACAGTGGTTCTCACCCTTCCTAATGCTGTGACCTTTAATACAGTTCCTCATGTTGATGGTCTAGACAGTGGTTCTCACCCTTCCTAATGCTGGGACCTTTAATACAGTTCCTCATGTTGATGGTCTAGACAGTGGTTCCCACCCTTCCTAATGCTGTGACCTTTTATACAGTTCCTCATGTTGATTGTCTAGACAGTGGTTCTCACCCTTCCTAATGCTGTGACCTTTAATACAGTTCCTCATGTTGATGGTCTAGACAGTGGTTCTCACCCTTCCTAATGCTGTGACCTTTAATACAGTTCCTCATTTTGTTGGTCTAGACAGTGGTTCTCACCCTTCCTAATGCTGTCACCTTTAATACAGTTCCTCATGTTGATGGTCTAGACAGTGGTTCTCACCCTTCCTAATGCTGGGACCTTTAATACAGTTCCTCATGTTGATGGTCTAGACAGTGGTTCTCACCCTTCCTAATGCTGTGACCTTTAATACAGTTCCTCATGTTGATGGTCTAGACAGTGGTTCTCACCCTTCCTAATGCTGTGACCTTTAATACAGTTCCTCATGTTGATGGTCTAGACAGTCGTTCTCATCCTTCCTAATGCTGTGACCTTTTATACAGTTCCTCATGTCGATGGTCTAGACAGTGGTTCTCACCCTTCCTAATGCTGTGACCTTTAATACAGTTCCTCATGTTGATGGTCTAGACAGTGGTTCTCACCCTTCCTAATGCTGTGACCTTTAATACAGTTCCTCATGTTGATGGTCTAGACAGTGGTTCTCACCCTTCCTAATGCTGGGACCTTTAATACAGTTCCTCATGTTGATGGCCTAGACAGTGGTTCCCACCCTTCCTAATCCTGTGACCCTTTAACACATTTCCTCATGTTGATGGTCTAGACAGTGGTTCTCACCCTTCCAAATGCTGTGACCTTTACTACATTTCCTCATGTTGTTGGTCTAGACAGTGGTTCTCACCCTTCCTAATGCTGTGACCTTTAATACAGTTCCTCATGTTGATGGTCTAGACAGTGGTTCTCACCCTTCCTAATGCTGGGACCTTTAATACAGTTCCTCATGTTGATGGTCTAGACAGTGGTTCTCATCCTTCCTAATGCTGTGACCTTTTATACAGTTCCTCATGTTGATGGTCTAGACAGTGGTTCTCACCCTTCCTAATGCTGTGACCTTTAATACAGTTCCTCATGTTGATGGTCTAGACAGTGGTTCTCATCCTTCCTAATGCTGTGACCTTTAATACAGTTCCTCATGTCAATGGTCTAGACAGTGGTTCTCACCCTTCCTAATGCTGTGACCTTTAATACAGTTCCTCATGTTGATGGTCTAGACAGTGGTTCTCACCCTTCCTAATGCTGGGACCTTTAATACAGTTCCTCATGTTGATGGTCTAGACAGTGGTTCCCACCCTTCCTAATCCTGTGACCCTTTAACACATTTCCTCATGTTGATTGTCTAGACAGTGGTTCTCACCCTTCCTAATGCTGTGACCTTTAATACAGTTCCTCATGTTGATGGTCTAGACAGTGGTTCTCACCCTTCCTAATGCTGTGACCTTTAATACAGTTCCTCATGTTGTTGGTCTAGACAGTGGTTCTCACCCTTCCTAATGCTGTGACCTTTAATACAGTTCCTCATGTTGATGGTCTAGACAGTGGTTCTCACCCTTCCTAATGCTGTGACCTTTAATACAGTTCCTCATGTTGATGGTCTAGACAGTGGTTCTCATCCTTCCTAATGCTGTGACCTTTTATACAGTTCCTCATGTTGATGGTCTAGACAGTGGTTCTCACCCTTCCTAATGCTGTTACCTTTAATACAGTTCCTCATGTTGATGGTCTAGACAGTGGTTCTCACCCTTCCTAATGCTGTGACCTTTAATACAGTTCCTCATGTTGATGGTCTAGACAGTGGTTCTCACCCTTCCTAATGCTGTGACCTTTAATACAGTTCCTCATGTTGATGGTCTAGACAGTGGTTCTCACCCTTCCTAATGCTGGGACCTTTAATACAGTTCCTCATGTTGATGGTCTAGACAGTGGTTCTCACCCTTCCTAATGCTGGGACCTTTAATACAGTTCCTCATGTTGATGGTCTAGACAGTGGTTCTCACCCTTCCTAATGCTGTGACCTTTAATACAGTTCCTCATGTTGATGGTCTAGACAGTGGTTCTCATCCTTCCTAATGCTGTGACCTTTTATACAGTTCCTCATGTCGATGGTCTAGACAGTGGTTCTCACCCTTCCTAATGCTGTGACCTTTAATACAGTTCCTCATGTTGATGGTCTAGACAGTGGTTCTCACCCTTCCTAATGCTGTGACCTTTAATACAGTTCCTCATGTTGATGGTCTAGACAGTGGTTCTCACCCTTCCTAATGCTGGGACCTTTAATACAGTTCCTCATGTTGATGGTCTAGACAGTGGTTCCCACCCTTCCTAATCCTGTGACCCTTTAACACATTTCCTCATGTTGATGGTCTAGACAGTGGTTCTCACCCTTCCTAATGCTGTGACCTTTAATACAGTTCCTCATGTTGATGGTCTAGACAGTGGTTCTCACCCTTCCTAATGCTGTGACCTTTAATACAGTTCCTCATGTTGATGGTCTAGACAGTGGTTCTCACCCTTCCTAATGCTGTGACCTTTAATACAGTTCCTCATGTTGATGGTCTAGACAGTGGTTCTCACCCTTCCTAATGCTGTGACCTTTAATACAGTTCCTCATGTTGATGGTCTAGACAGTGGTTCTCATCCTTCCTAATGCTGTGACCTTTTATACAGTTTCTCATGTCGATGGTCTAGACAGTGGTTCTCACCCTTCCTAATGCTGTGACCTTTAATACAGTTCCTCATGTTGATGGTCTAGACAGTGTTTCTCACCCTTCCTTATGCTGGGACCTTTAATACATTCCTCTTGTTGTGTTGACCCCCAACCATAAAATTGCTTATGTTGCTACTTCATAACTGTAATTTTGCTACTGATATGAATATTAATGCAAGTGTTTCCTAATGGTCTTAGATGACACCTGTGAAATGCAGGTTCAACCTGCTAGGTTGAGACTACTGGCCTAGACATTAATAATGGCTTTGTTTGTGTTCAGTTCCTGTCTTGTCTCCTATTAGTTTGATTTTGTTCAAAAAAGTCCTTACATTTGGTTTGAAATGTATTTCATTTTCTTCCTTCCTTCCTTTCTTCCTTCCTTCCTTTCTTCCTTCCTTCCTTTCTTCCTTCCTTCCTTTCTTACTTCCTTCCTTCCTTCCTTCCTTCCTTCCTTTCTTTCTTTCTTCTTTTTTTTTTCCGACACAGGGTTTCTCCATATTGCTTGGGAGCCTGTCCTGGAACTCGCTCTGTAGACCAGGCTGGCCTTTAACTCACAGAGTTCCACCTGCCTCTGCCTGACAAGTGCTGGGATTAAAGCCATGCACCACCAATGCCCGGCGAAATTTCTTTTCTTAAACAAGACTTTCATATTATACATACAAACTCATTAACTTTAGAGAGTTCAAACAAGATCACACAGATTTTAACCTTAAATCCATCATATCTCTTCTTCTCCCATCTTTAGATTTCCTTGACCAACTGAGCTCAAGGAGAAACTAAATTATGTGGCCTATAAAATCCCTCATAATTATCTTTCCATCCAATATGGCCTACTGAGAACTCAGGAGCTAAAGCACTCTTAAGATCACCCACATTCTAATAGGAATCTCTTTTCTTGTTTACAAACAAATCCATTGCAAGTTGTGAGAGCAAATGCAGAGGAATTTTTGACCATTTTCGCATCTTTTAGCATCCATCAACATAAGATTCAATGAAAATAATTTGTCTCCATTTTTTGTAGAGTTCATGAGTAAGAAATATAAATGACATATCTAAAACTATACATTAATTTATATTTTTCTTAATTTTATAGGTGTTCTGCTGATGAATCCTCTTAAGAAATTTGTTGTTGTTATTGTTGGCTTCTGTTTCATATGGACCCAGAGAAACCCACCAAAGCTATGTCAACCTTAATAATGCTTAACCCATGAGCTCCGGTGCCTTTTGGATCTTTGCGACATTGAAGATTTTAGGAGAAGCTATTCAACTATTTTGTGATGGTGGCTATCATTTTGTATTTTAAAGAGATTATTTTGTAAGGAATAATTTTAATACTATAGTTTTGCCTGTATTGTAGTAAATGTTGAGATAAGTTTTTTTTTTTTTTTAATTTTAGATACCATTATTTCTTAAGTTACTAGAATGCATACTGTTTGGTTTTCAATCTTTAGTTAACTGTACACTCATCAAACATACAGGTCTCTCAAAGACATCCTACACATTGAGAGTCAAGTTTCAAAACACATTTTTTTTTTTGCACACATTCTAAAAATGACTATGTATGTGTAGCAAGGTGGAAGTAAGTCAGACCTTCTTAAAACAAATATTTTTAATAATCTCTTGGGAAAAAAACACCAAAAAAAGTATTGATTTTTCTAGCAAGGTGTTCTGGATTCCAGGCAACTAGCTCTGTTTATGACATTTGAGAACTGTGTGTTGGAAGCATTTCCAGGTAACATGTAGCAGAAGAAGTAAGTACCTCTCGGTGTTTTTGTCTTCTCTTCCAGAGGGAAGAAGCAATGAACCCTTATTTAACATGGTTAGACAGTTAAAGTAATCTCATTTAGCCAAGGATGAGGGTTTGGTTAAACTGGAAGAGTTAATCTGGCTTCTATCTTTAAATCTTCAGATCAAATAACATAGTACATGCTTAGATTTAGAAAACTTTAGCAACTGTGTTTGTTGTCTTGTGAGTAAGTACCTAATCGGAAAGTATGAACATAATGACACCAGCATCTTTTTTTCATGGTAACGCATTTTCGTAGAAACTATTTATACATTTTTCTTTATAATTCTCCACACATAAGGTTAGTGTGTTCAGTTTTGAAAGGGTATTTAAGTGAACATTTTTCTAGCTCATAGGGCAAGATCATTTATCTTCATACAAAGGGAAGATAGACTGTACAGTGAATTTTCAGTTCTATTTATGGTACTGTTAAGTGGGTAATATCCTTATTTTTAGACATATATATATATATATATATATATATATATATATATATATATATATATATGTATGTATATGTATTACGCTTGCCTAAGTGCTGAACTGGGGCTATAGTTTCATAGTTTTAGACTTGTTGGTACTGGTTAATTTCAACAGGTAAGATCTTAATGTTTGTATCTGCACATTCGATTTTTGCACAAATGATTTTTAAAATATCTTAATAAATGTTGTTCAAGTAAATGATGCAGTATTTAGTTGAAGTGGCCATTACATCCCTTCTTTTAAAAAAGAAATACAGACACTTGAGAAAGTGTAATGTCATATGCCAAGAAAATTCTTTTCATTGGTGCCTATACTGTAATAGTTGCTTTTAATTGATTGTATTTTGAAGTAATGTTTTGGTTAGACTTTTCATCTGCTCTGTAATTGAAACTCAATTACACTTTGTTCTCCACAGTGATCTACAAATAATTATGTGACTTGAATCATGGATTACATTCGTATTTTTGTAAAAATAAAATCAACCAGTTCATAAATTGATTACATAAGCCCTTATCACATAACTGCATCCCAAATACAACTTGTATTGCTTACTCATAGCTTTAGTCCTGTAGACTCTTTCTAGGTGAAGCATATGTCAGTGTTTGGGGGATTTAAAAAATAAATATTTAAATTTTATGATCTTTGACGTTTGTTTCCTTAAGAATGGATCTGATATGTTATTCTAATTGTTTTAAAAATTCCTCCTTCTTTTATTATTGGAGCATAACCAAGGTTTACTTTGAAATTAAAAGTTATTAAGAACTGACTCAATTTATAGCTGAACACATATATTCTGATTTCTGCCTCCTTCCTTAACAGAATTATTAATAGTCCTTTCAAAAATGTCTTCAGACAAGCAATTCAATGATCTACCTAATTACCATTTTAATAAAATATCACATACAGATTTGAACTTTATACTTCTTAAGGAAAATACACATTTAGCCCAAGATTTAGAAATGAAAATGAGATGAGAAAAAGCATGTAACATACAAAATTTTGAGTTTCTTGTGGGAAAAGATTACAGGTAATTTTTTAAAAATAATAGAGATTATATAAATTTTGTATAGGTGGTCAAGCTTCAGTATATTCTTTGTTTTAAATAACTACTCTGTGCTTGTGATTTGATGGATTTGTGTCCAGGAACAGAAAAAGGAGTGGAATGAAGCATACCAAAGGAATGAGTGGGTGGTGGTGGCGCACACCTTTAATTCCAGCACTTGGGAGGCAGAGGCAAGTGAATCTCTTTGAGTTCAAGACCAGCCTGGTCTACAAGAGCTAGTACTAGGACAGGCTTCAAAGCAATACAGAGAAATCCTGTCTTGGGGGCAGGGAAGGAATAAAGAAATGTGTTATCTACCCCTTCTCTGTCACATATAAAATTGTTTATGACATCACTTCACTCTTTGACATTCATATTTAACATTGTCTTGTAAACACATTGGATTTAAGATTATCAACAAAGTTCTTCAATAGTATTCTAGGAGTATTGGTAGACAAATTTTGAGAGTTAGTGAAATTGCTCTGTACTTCAGAACACTAGCCACTTCAGCAGAAGACCTGGGTTGGGTTCTTAGTACCACTGTGACTCACAACTGTCTGTAACTCCCATTCCAGGGGATCCCACTTGAACTCTATGGGCAGCAGGCATGAATATGATGTGTATACATGCATTTAGTCATATGCTCATACACATACCATTTTTTAAAAGCAAACAAATTGAACTTGACACTGTGTTACTTCACTATAACCCCCAACGTACAGGAGACTGAGGCAAAAGGATCATGTGTTGAAGACCAGCCTTGGCTTCTTGAGAAAAACAACAACCACACCACACAATTTTCATCCCCTGTCAGAGCCTGGTGCCAGTGCTGTCTCCTTGTGTGTCAGCCATCCCTTGTTTCTACTTCACCCCTGGCCAAACATTTTCTTTTGTCCCTGTCCTTTTTCCATTCTCTAACTGTCCTATCCTATAGATATAAGACTGGAGGCATCTACTTCTGAATTTTATTAAAACAAAAGAAGGCCATACTTACAACTTAGGTTTGAGTGATTTTTTCCATTGCTCTTTATTAAATAATACCTCAGACCCTAGCCTACATGCATGCAACCAAGATATGGCAAAAATAAATACCAGCAGGAGATATTAATAAAAAAAGCTTGTTAACATTGATTCCCACCATATATAATAAGTAGTTAAGAAGAGAGAAATTAGAAATCAGTACCATAATATCTTCATCAGGCACACATCTGGCTTGAAGAATGGGCCTAATTCACGAATCTCCATCATTGAAAATTCTGCTATCCTCTATTAATTCTAAACATGTTTTGCTGAGAGGGTCTATGTCACTCACCTACATATATTGATAATCTTAGTATATAATAAGACCATTCACTGGGTCCCAAACAAGTCATGAGGAGAGAAACCGCAGTTAATGTTATGTAAGCACAAAAAACACCCAACATAATCATGGACTACTAAATCACAAAGCAGCATTAGAAACCGCTCCCATACAACAACCTACATCATCATCATTTATCATTCATCAGTATTGAAGAATAGGTTTTCATTTATATTATCTGCTCACAAAAATGTATAAGGGTGATGACATACACTTCCCTCCACACTGCCATGGTGCTGGCAAGGAAAAGGCATGTTCCAGAGTCTGTTTGGATGAAATAAAAGAATGAAGCTCATAGAATGAGGCAGCAACTTGATCTTTCATAAGCTTGGTGCCTGAAATGATGCCCTTAGCATCAATGAAAATGACCAAGGAAAAGGTGCATCAAAAAGGTGCTTATGTCTTACCTAAGGTGGTAACCTGGAACTGGCCAGGAACATTCACAGAGTCCGCTCTTTTTAAGCTAAGAAATAATTGCATGGTTTTAACAAAGTCCTATCTTCAGCACCTGACGTGATGAAGGACATGTCTTCATCCTCTTCCTCTAGCTGCAGACTACCAGAAGACAAGCGTATTCGGGCCCTAGGTGACTTTGTTCCTTTGCCATACAAAGAATAGTAGTCTGGTTTAAGAATCTCTGATTCTGAATCACTTGACTCACTAGCTATATACCTTTCTGCTGAGCTCTGGTCCATTAGAACTGTGGGGAATTCCTGATCTACAAATGTACACGTAAACGGATCTGCTTTACGAGTCAGAGCAGGGCAAGGCCCTAAAGGTCTAAATTCTGACCCAAAAGGAAAACGGATAGCTTTCATGTCTGATTGGCTCTGAGATCGTTTAGGAGTTTGCTCTGGAAGGTTATATGCAAATGCATCATCTAAATGGGGGTCTTCCTCCCCTAGGTCTACATTGATAGCGCTTCTACCACTAGTTCTAGCCATAGCTTCTTGGAGTTCTTGAAGGTCTTGCTGTAAGCTTTTTATCCTGCTATTCCTTGGGCTTCTTTTGGCTGGTTTTATTGCACTGGGATCTATAGAGCTGTCTGATCTCACACTTTCCTCTGCCATGATTGGAGACCACTTGGGTACCTGGGGTGGTTTGTCTACATAAAAAAAGACTTGGGGAGGCATAATATCAACCTGTTGACTAGTACAAGGAATATAGGGCACATCGGTGTATGTTAGCTGCCTTGCTGGACTCACTTGGCTTGTGAAACCAGTGGATGTGCTTAAGTGATTGTCCACAAATTTAGAGTTTGTTTGGAAGGAGCTTAGAGGGCTCCGTTCTTCAAAGAAGTCTATGGGATCAGGGTCAGTGTTAAAGACAGAATCTGCATAAATAAAGGTGAAAGAGGAAGTGCTTTGGGATGGGTGGAGTGATGTGGGATCTGCCTCTGGTTTGGAACGCTCCAGCTCGGCTGCAAATGTCACCTCAACCGCCGAGTTCCTCCTCCTACTGTCTAGCATAGGCTCAGATGCATGCACTCCATTCACATTTCGGTAGTAACCACTGCCGTAGGTAAGTCTCAGATCTTCCACCTTGAAAAACAAAACACGTGGATGTCAGATGAAAAAAAAATAAACAGCTGTTTAGTTGGACTTGGGGGAGTGTCTTGCAGTTAATATCCTATTATGAAAAGCTGATTTCACAAAGTTATTTAAATCTATGTTCTTTCCCACAGCATATAAAAGTATATGTACTGAAAGGGTAATGACTTATACCATGTCCCAAGTTGTGTGTTAGATAATACCTGCAGTGTTCTTCATTCTCAGTGACGCTCAATTTCTGAACTCAACATTTCATGGGTCCTTCAGGTAGCATTGTATTTCAAGCAGTTCACTTTGGTAACTATATCAATGAGGTAGGAGTCTTACCCCCTGTCTGCCTTTGACTGTGTGGACCACAGTCTAATGCCCCTACCCCAGCCCCCTCTATAGTTTCTGTATATAAAAGGTAGAGAAGAGAGCTGTGAATGGCCTGAGAGATTCATAATCTAGACAGTCTCTTTCATTGGTTTACCTTTGATGTCTTTTGGATAAAAGCCATCTGTGACATGGAAGTTTATGACACCTCCAACTAACTTTTGTAGACAGTGTCAAAGCAAAGTGATCAACAAGTTTCCTGATTAAAGTCTGTAATGAGGCTGTCATCTTACACTCCCAGTGGCATAACTGCATCTAGAAATCATGTTACACAACTAAGAAACAACACTGTATACCTTTCTTGAAGCCTTATGGTTTCCCCTGGTAAAATAACAGAGCTTTTAATTTTAAAATTATGATGTCATGGAAATGTATTAGTATCTAATTTTTTCAAGATGTTGATAATACAGTTTGCAATTTGAGGGCACACCAGGGGTTTCCCTTGTGCACAGTAAGCGGTTAATTGTAGTTTATCAAATGGCCTATTAGCAAGAATGACTGTGCCAAGACCTCTCCATGGAGTGACCTTGGTACACATTGGATGATTGTGGCAAAATTGATTCTTGGAAGCATTGGAAGACTGGATGACTTATACTTATCTAAAGAAGTAGGGCTTTTCCGAAACCTTACTTGTTTTGACACATCAGAGAGAATGTCTGGTGATGACCTGCACTGCCGTTCGTGATACTGAGATGGATACTGTTTCCTGAAATCCCCAAACAGAAAAGTCATTGAGATGCTCATTATGCAACTCCCAATCAGTATGAGAAGAGAGAAGGAAAAGGGTGCACCTTTCAAATGGCAGGCTCTTTAACCTCCCTTTTTTCCCATATTCCAAAAGTTGCCTTTGGGTTCTTCCACTATCATAAAGAAGAGACAAACATCATTAATTCCATCATAAGCCTATATGCCACTAAAATTCTCACCTTTGTTTGAAGCCTACAGTGTTCGGATGAATGGCACATGTCATCAATCTCTATCATATTGATGGCTATATTTGCTTATCTGGACACCAACAATACAGCGATTTCAACTGTCCAAAACATAGACTTAAAAAAAACTGTAAAATACCTACTGTCTCTATTTTACAAGCTCATTCTAAGGAGGCTATTTATTTAGATTCCCGATCCACGGTGGATGCTAAGCAGCTAACTAAACAATAGAAAAAGATCACTGCAGGTAGGCTTATATCTGTAAAGAACGCTAGCTGACTGCCGGAGTTGAAGCACTCTCTGATACCCTGCATCCTCACTGGGGTTCTGTTCCAACCCCTTTGGTTGCTAAATACTGACCTAATGCAATGTACCAAGAATGAGCAGTAAAGATAAAGAATAGTTATACTCTCTCAAATGAGTGGAATGGATTCTTTACTTTGCTCCTGAAATTCAGACTCCTCCCACTGCTTCCCATGCTATTGAAAAGAAGCAGTGTGCATGGTCCTCCCTTGCACAGTGTGCAATTAATTACCTGTAGCGGAAACTGGAACCCTTGCTGCAGAGTAGTGTTTTGGGCTTTGATTTGGGCTCTTCGGAAAGCCTGAAGAAAGCGTGGTATTCCACACAAGTCTTCCAGAAAGCCTTACACGCATCCCGGCTAGCCATGGTGAACTCCAAAGTGTCTTTGCACAACACCTGTATAAACCATTTTCTATCAAGCAAAATATCCTGCGAGAATACCAATGACCTCCCAAACTCAATGCCTTCTAAACCGTCAGTCCAGCAGTCCATGCAGTGTCTGATTTTCTGTTTGGCTCCCTACAGGCTCCACAGCCACTGAAACCAAATGATTAGCACCTTCCTGAAGATTAGACACTGCCTCCACTCACACACTGAGCCTTGTCTCAGGAGCCCGGTTTGCTTTCCACATGCCCCTCACTCTAAATGCTTTTCTGCCTTGCCTCTTTGCTTCCAGAAACATCTTAGGAAGTTGTAAATTAGGTTAAAATGAATATCAAAGGGCTTCTTTTCAAGGTGGCAAGAAGGTATAAATGACCACCAGGAAGGGGGAGGGGGAGAGGTCATTCCCTCTATAAGGATGATTGAATGCATACAAGTGTTTTCAATCTCCCAGGTAGAAATACACCTTCCTCTATACACTTTCTCATTCTACACCACTCTGTATTTCTCTCTTCGCATAGTCCATATTTTAATGTGCCCTAAGGGAACTTAGATTTATAGTTCTAAAGTACAAGCTTTTCCCGTCTTGAGTCAACACATATACTCATTGGCCTAAGGCTCTATGGCATGCTCCAAGCCCTCTTTTTGGGAGCCCCACCAGCCCTCAGAGTTCAGTGCCCCCTCCTCTCATTCCTTTCCAGGTTCCTGAGGCCCCCCACAAACTTCACACTTGGTCTGTCCCATGAACTATCCAAATGAACACCTTTACATGATACCAAGATCTAGGCAATATAATCCAAAGTGGATCTTCTATGGGCCCAAAATTAGTTGATACACACATAGTTTTTTCCCACTTTGTGGTTAGTCATTAAAATATCCTAACACATTTTTCTTACCTCATGCAGTGAAAAGTCACCTAAGGATGACGTATTTTGCTTATATGAACACTTTATAAGATATGAAAGAACATCAAATAATTATTTCTGTTGTCCTAGATCTGGTGGCCCCCATTTGACTCATCAGATCCCTCACAAATGCTATCCACAGAGACTTACCTTTCAGTCTAGCTGCCTCATTGTCCAATTGTATCATTTATTCTGAAGTGCAAATCAGATGTCATAGTGTTTTGTCTTTAGTCAAAGTGTCATTAAATCTCAGCTCAGTTTATATAAAGAACAAAGAGGGGCCCATCACCCCACAGGGCCAAGTACCTTTCACCATTTACATTAAAACCATTTCTAGAGCAACGACAAAATGCCAAAGGAATAGAAATAGAATGTATTAGAAATGTACTCACCAAAATATTAGCATGAAGTTTGATGAGAAAATGCTTTCTCTTAAAACTCAACTTGCGAATTTTAGCCCAGTTGAAAGTATTAATCTTTGTATTTCCCTATAATGAAACACATAGCCAGTTTTAGAACACATTTGCACGAGTCACATTGCGCCACCGTACAAGTGTGAAGGAAAGTAGTCTTTCTGAAGATTCCCTGAGGCTAACCCTTATCCAGAGAGAGGCAGTGGCTGCCCTTAAGTATTGCAGGCAGGACATAAGTTCCTTCAGTACATAAGCAAGAAGGTGCAAAATGGAGACTTTTAAGCCAGTACAATGAGACTGGATCACAATGGATTGTTGTGCGATCTCACCCTCCCTCCCGGTTTCCACATACAGGCACTAAAAGGAACAACCCATTTCTCCTGCTGCCTCATTTACTCAAACATTTCCAGTAGCTCCTCGCTGGCCACATCATCAAATGTGGCTTGGGTTTCACTGTTCAATATACAGTCATCTCTCCTACTGCTTGTTTCTTTAAACTTCTTTCTACATGTGTACCTTCATTCCTGTGACCTGCCCATTCTCTCCTGCCCCAACTGCCTTCTGCATCATCAAACTTCTTACCAGTGCTGATAGCACACTGCCTTGGACATTCTGATAGCAGGAGCACACACCCCATTTCTAGCTCCTCTAAAGAATTTTTGTTTTAAGCAGACCAGGAAAGCCAGAATTCTTTAGATCAGCTAGGGGGAGAATGATGATAGAAGACAACAGCAGCTCAAGTTGATTTCTAACTTGAAATAAAAAATCCCTGGAAAACAATGATGTGGTAAACAGCAACAGTTGCTGGCAGGACTCAATATTATTTCCCTACCAGCTGGCACTGATCACTTCCAATGTAAAAAGGGCACATCATGGTTTGGATCACTTGGGGTGCCTCTTAATCGTCTGGAAAGTACTATGCAGGTTTTTGGATATCTGAATCTACAGTCTAAGAGTCCCCACAAGCCTCTTGATTTTATCACTTATCCATGCTGGCCTAATCTAAGGCGTGATGGCCTCAAAACCCAAACAGTACATTGATGACCACACACAGAGGCGAAGCACATAGTAGGGCTATAGTTATATACACCATTTACAGGCTCTACTTCCCTTCTAGTTGGTGGTAAGACAAAGTCTTATAAACCCTCAGGGGAACGGATATTCGCGTGGAAGCCATGATCAGCACTCCAAGAACACTGAAGGATACTAAAGGAGAGAGTTATTACCCGCAACACCAGAACTCCCATGTGAGCAACAGCCAGATGAATCTGCATCCCTTCACCATCACTGGCAGGCTGAGGTCTGATGCCATACATATCCAGCTTCCTTGCTATGTCCAGTAGCAAAATGTCTGATTCCGCTGGGCTGCGGCCACTGCAACAGGAAAAGATTAATGAGCCTGAAAAATGCAGGAAAACTCACCTCCCCCCAACACCTTTCCTCTGAGATATGCACGAAGAGCTGAGTGTTTTCCTGAGACTGAAGCTTCTCAGACCTAAAGGCTTGCCTTAAAGAGCACGTCTTAGCTTCAGGGTCCTCCTTTGGGAAGGCAGGTGTCTGGGGAAGTACTTACATGTGCTGCTGATGAAACTGCATGATCTTGCTCTCCAAATAGTCTTGGCTTGGTAAATACCGGGTTTGTCCTAGATGCTTTCTAACTGTTTCTTCATGAAAATCTCCTAATTCTGCTGTACAATAGAAAAGTGGCAGTGTTCACATCTACACTGAGGAATTAAACAACGTGCAACCTAAGAAACCTCCTGTTCGCCCCTAAAAGCCTTTTCTCTGCAGGTGCTGTAACCCAATCCCCTCCCACCTCATGCTTTATGAATATTTCTGTTTGTACAGGGGGAAACTAACAGACTTGTTGTCACATCACAAGCAGTGGGTTTTTGTGAAGTCTAGCCTGTGTCATGGGTTACACACCCAGAACATACATTAAAAGCTCCAAATTCACACTTGAATATTTTGTTAGGTTTTCCATCTTCTATTCTCTTTTTGATGAATTTATGTACTGTGAACTGCAGTCCAGCCTAACATGCATCCATTTAAAAAGAGGAAAGCCAGGCATGCGGGGATTCTAGGGATGAGTGTTCAGAACAAAAAATGGTGTGAGGACACCGTAAGAAGGCTGCCTTTATCAAGCTGACGAAAGAGGCTTCCAAATGTAGCAAACCTTCCAACACCTTCATCTTAGACTCCCAGCCTGTAGGATGGTGAGAAATTGTTTTTCTCATTTAGTCTCTGGCATTTTCCTATGATAAACCTAGTAAAAACCTAACACATCCCCAAATTTCTCTCCACTGCAATTATCCATTATCATAAGCAAAGAATAAAATATCAACTTGAGTACAGGCAAGCTGCAGCCAAGCCATCATTCTGGACTCTGGGAATTTAGCAAATCCCCAACAATTTGAACCCCCCAATAGACAGATCATCCTTTCCAAATAGCTGAAAGTTTATCTGTGTACCTAATTTACTCTTTTTCAGACATCTCCAGTTTATTGTTAGGGACAACTAGTGCAGGATGCATCCTTCCCTATTGTTCTTCCCTATTGCAAAGTGCCTCAGACGTCTTTTCCTTTTGTCTTCTTTGGAATTGTTATGCTTTTTCTGTGTCTAAGATCCATGTGAGTTACCTTCTGATTATTTATTTCTCTGAAAGTCAAAGTTTAGAACACCTTCTCCATTGTGACTTTTAATCTAAGACAACTGGGCAAAAGGAGATAAAACCACACCTGTTACTCATATATGTTCTTTTTTTTAACTTCATAACTATAACATTTCTCCCTTGAATTTCTTCCCTCCACAGCTTCCCATATATCCTCCCCTACTTTCCTTCATATTCATGGCCTCTTTTTTCATTAATTGGTGTTGCATGCATATATGTATATACATATATAGTGTAGGCCATAATGTTTAAAAATAATGCACTCTTGAGGAATCCTGTGGTGTTCTTATTTTGAGTAAAATGCAAGCACGATGCTAAGAACACTATATAAATAAAGAATTGATGGAACCATGTTTAACCTGATAAAAGTTATCTATGAAAATAACTCGTGGCTCACAATAATAGTCATATCACATGGCAAGAGGATAAAGACTTCCCCTTAAAATCAGGAATAAGATAACAATGCTTGCCTTGGTTCCATCACTCAGAAGTGCACTCATAAGCATAGTAAGTGCATACTGATGAGAAATGGATATGTAAAAGTGTTGTAATGTAAATGAAAAGAAGATCCAATATTGATAAAAGTCCAAGAAACCAATAGAGAACAGGGAAGCATAAGTGAAAAGTCAAGAAATTAACTCTCACAATTGTTCTTGACAAAGGTGTCAAGATAATGCAATGAAGAAATAAAAATCCTTTCAATAAATTGTTCCAGAACAAATGGAATCCTATGTGAAAAATATAAACCATTTACATTCAAATCATCACTCTGAACATTGGGAATCTAGTAAGTACCCAGAAATTCTACCAGAATCTCTTGTACACAAATCCTTCTGGCCTTTCCAAATAGTTGGTAGTTTATCTGTGACTTCATGCATCACACCACACAAGCATACTAAAAATAAACTCAAAATGGATCAAAGACCTAAGTTTAAGGGGTTGACCTAGAAAAGATCTAGAAGAAAACTAAGGAGAAGAATATCTGTGGCTATCAGAATTCGTTTTAAAGATCCATTTTCAAATGGTAAGATACCATTTTCAATGGTAAGATAGTACATTTTAAAATGGGGAAAATATTTAAATGGGCACTGCCTCATTGGTTGGCAATTAAAAAAAAGCTAGTTAAAATTTTTATGTTTTTACCCCCCAGTCCATGCCTCTCAACCTTGGTCAGGGAAGCCTCCTTTTGCATTGGGCAGCTGTCAATGAAGAGACTCCTAATTGGTCAAAGTACTGTAAATAAGAGATTGTGTGTTCAGTTCTAAATGGGATCTAAATGGGATGGCCTCACCACCATAGTCCAAGGAACATGGCAAGGAGGCAGAGAGAACAAAAGGTCTGGAAGATGGGGATGGGTGCTGGGAAATGCTGTCTTGAGAAAACTGAGGGGTTAGTGCAACAGCTGTGATTACCTGCACAAGATCAAACCAGCCTAAATTCTGTTAGAGATGGGAGGTGCTCTCTGGGCCCCAGGCATTAGTGGGGAGCCACTGGAAATTGACAGCTGCTGGAGAAGGGAGAATCATTCTGTTTTGAGGTGTAGCCACTGGTAGGTTCCCCATGGTTCCGGGGATGGTCCCATATCCATGCCCATGGGGTAGTACTAACCAGACTTGACAGGTTATCAAAACAAAATAAAAGACATGAAGTTGGGAGGGGTTCTTTTGGGGCATACAGAGGGAATTGGAGTGGGAAACTAGTGAGGTCTGACCATATTTCATTGTAGGATTCAACAAAGAATAAGAATAAAGAAAAATGCTAGTTATACAGGTAATGGGATTGATTATCTCTTTATACATATTAGGATAGCCATAATACCAAATATTAGGGAAGGTGAGGAGTTAGAAGCTTCAGACCTTCTTGATCAAAGGATGACGTGTGTACACGAAAACAACATAGTGAAATACATGAATTTGTACACTTAATTTTCATTGTTAGTTTTAACAAACGTTGTGTTCAATGTTAGGCCTTTCTGGTCCAACTCCTATCATCTCTCCTAAAAAATCTTCTGTTATTGTTCCTACTACCACCACGCCCTTCTAAGTTCTAGATTTTAGAAAAGCAGCCAGTATGATTTTCTTAAAACCTAATTCAGATTTTGTTCTTATATTTAGAATGGATGCCAAGAATCCCTTATACCAGAGGTGCTTCTGAAAATTAAAGGGGAATGATCTTTCTCTTCTACCTCAGTCTTCTGCCCTTATGGCTTCCCATCTCATTGAGAGTTGTGCTCTAGGTCTTCAATGGACTATTAACTCCCCTCTACTCACTCACTAAGGCTCCAGCCAGCCACAAAGCCTTCTTGATGTTTCATAAACACCACATGTATCTCGGCCCCTCTGACTTTTTCATAGTGTTCTCCATGTGTGGACCTCTCTGTCACTGGACTTGGCCCCTTGGCTTACCTTCGGGACTCATCCAAACCTTCACTGAACTGTTACCTTTATAGTCAGCTTACCATCCCCCCTGCCACACACTTGGTTGAAAAACCCAGTACCCACCCCTAACACTCCCCCATCTCCCTCCTATGCTCCGTTTTTCCCCATTGCTCTCATCACTCTGAATATTCATCCTATATTTTTTTTTCTTATTTTGGTCATTGTCTGACTCTCTTGCACTGCCAAAATGTGAACTCCGTGAAGACAAGGATTGGTATTGTAGCTCACTGCTGTGCTCTCAATATCTACTCTAGAATCTGTCATGGTGGCACTTACTCCATTATGTTTGTTTAATGACTAACAAAGCAGGACTATACTATGAGTTTCTAAAATGATAGATTCATTTGAATTATGCAGATCATGTTTGGAAGGGACTATCTGGCTAGAGGTGCATAAAAGAAGTGTAAATAATAAAATGCAACAGTCAGAATGCTCAGGTTCTTGAATGTCTAGCCTACAGCAGGCATTTAGCAAATATTGAACTGGTGAATGGATACATTGACAGCTAAATGAGCAATTGGGCTGTGATTCTGTGGTTTGACCTTGAGGTCTCTGAGCCTGACTGGCATTGACTGTGAAATGCTCATTCACTAGAGCCACAGCCCATTCTCCACCCAAAAAAAAAAAAAGAAAAAAAGAAAAGAAAAAAAACCATCTCCACCACATACCTTCTGGGTCATACCTGAAATGGCCACTAGGCAATGTCCAACTCCATAAGGCAGTACTGTTAATAAAATTGAGCTCCCTTAAAAGAGGTCACCTGGAGCCCCACCCTCAACTGCTATCTGAAGAGACAACTAATGGAGAAGGATGCTCTTTCTATCTGTTCTACCCCCATGCCTTGTATGACACTGGGCACATGGCCTGTGGTCTCAGCACTCAAGATGATGCTTTATTTATAACCATATCTCCTGGATAGACACTATTCTTGAGTTATGTGTGGTCATTCTTCATCCCCTGCACATGATGTCCTGCCACCATTTCTATGCTGTTTCCTCTGTCCATCTTCACATTCAATTCCCATGTATCCCTTTAAGCTTCAGTACAAAATCCATCTCCTCCATCAGCTTTCCTTGACTCTTACGGCATTTTCCATCTACTGCCTTTCTGGGAGTTCAGAGCTCTCTTTTACCAGCTGGGAGTCACTTGATACACTGCCTAGGATGCAGTCCCTATCCAAGCATTTCACTGTATTGTTCTCAGCGAAACCTGAAATCTACCATTTATGGACTGGTAGGAAGGTAATGATCAAAGGTCAGAAATGAACTTATGAAATAAACAAAAAAAACCTGAAGTTATGGTTCGTGGGATTATCAAGGAACAGTGTATTCTTTGGAGGCCATTTCAAAAAAAGAGAAAGTCCAGCTGGCCTTCGAAGAGATGTTATCTCCCCCTGCCTAGACCCTGCCCTCCAGGCTTCAGGAACAGCATGGTCTGTCTTGTGTAACTCCCGCCCAGGCAGGCCCCCACTGTTCCTCAGGCCTCCTTCAGTCTACCTTCCGTGTTCTTTCTAGTCAAACTACTTGGCTGCTAATGGAGAACATTCTTTCATGCCTGGTGTCTTTTAGCCTCTACCCACTTTCTCCACTCGTGATTTATTCTGTGCAGAAAACATGGAACAGTGACAGCAGGGTTGGTAGAATGAGGTAGGATAAAACCAGCATTTACTTTTAACCATCAAAAGCACCTCCAAGAGATGGCATTTTTGTCACTATTGAAATACAAGAACACCCAGGCTCAGAGAAATAAGGGAGCTTGCTTTACTGTAACGGCAAGATAGGGGCAAGACTTCACTAAGATCGCAATGAATGTGATGAAGCGTCGCATCACTGTGTCTGAACCAGGCCCCTTTGCCCCTTAATGATGAATACAGTGTCAGGCAGGCAAATTGGAGTTGCTTATCTCCTTCGCTTGGCTCTATCCCTGGTGAACGGGCCGAGAAGTAGAGCTTTGGTACTTACATTGTAGGATGTGTGACACCATTAACGCTGTGCAGTTGTCACTACATGGAAGCCTTCCCAGAGCCAAATCCTTCTTTATTTGAAGAGTAAAAAGATATCTGCAAAGGATTTGAGGAAAAGAGCTTGACAAAAACGCAGGAAGACAGAAGATCCAAGATAATTGAAGGAAGGAACAGCATCCGGACACTCAGGGGCCTTTTTGGGTTGGTGACTCATACATACACTTTGCTTCAGAATCAAACCAATCCCAGCCCTCATCTGGCTGACCCAGCACATTGGCAGGTTCTGCAACAGTTCGGAATTGTCCTGGATGTAGGCTGCCCCCAGCTTGAGGGACCCAGCCAACTCTCTTCTGGTCCTTCATGCCATGAAAACAACCACACCCTGAGCTAGAGAAAGAGGAACCTCAGCAAGCCTGAGCAGACTCTGGGGGATGCAAAGAACTGTCAGGTAGACAGGGCCATAAGAATTCCAGAGGTTAGTGGAGCAGGCAATCACTCCATGATACCAAGACAGGGTCCAAGCCATTCTGACCAGTTCATAGCACTCTAAGATACTGAAACTATGTTCAGAACTTAACATCTGCCACTGAATTTAGACTACCTAACCAAAGAACATAGTTCAGGAATCAAGGCCATCAAGCCATGCCTGTGCCCACCTTATTCTCTTGACTGGAGCACTTATTAACAGTAGGTGTGAAACTAATGGTTGATGAACTCAGGGATGCAGAACCTTCACTGAGGACCATAAAATGCAGGTTTGTGTTTAGGGCTCTGCTGAACTGAACATTTGTCACACACACTTAAAGCTTTAGTAAAAGAGAAGTCACTTTGTGTTTTTAAGTGTGTGTGTGTGTTTGTGTGTGTATGTTCTTGTTCATACATGTGTGTCTAGAGGTCAGAGGACGACTTTGAACTTTGGGTATCAGTCCCAAAGTACAAAGTACAATGGACAAATCCTATTTTATGTTAATTTTATGTAAAATATGACTTTGTACATTAGTCTAGCTGGCTTGCAAGCTTTGAGGTATACCTCTCATCTCAATGCAGAAGCACTAGGATTATAGATGCCAGTTCCCACATTTCTATGGATTGCAGAGATTTGAACTCAGGTATTCACACTTGTGTGGCTCATGCTTTTCAACTTAACCATCTCTCCAGGCCCAGGGCCCACATTTTGATGCATAAACGTATAAGAAAGGCTCCATCATTGTCTATTTTAGTTCCAGTGTTTTCTTCTATATGCAAAAACATGCGTTACACACTGTATTTCCCTATATAAGATATAATTTTCCAGACTAAATTCTATGTGGAGTTTTCAGTAGCTAATTAATGCCCTGAAGGAAATGGAATAAAAGATAACTAGTTGCAGGTGATAAATGAAAATCTGTTCTGAAAAATCTTGTCAAGTGATTACTCAGCTCATGGAAGCTTTAACCATTATGTCCCTTCAAATTGTGAGTACCTCTTATGTACTAGAAATGATTAAGTTAAAACAGTTATTTTGTATAATAGTCTCAGATGTCCATGCATTGACCCCAAACAAGGAATATTTTTAATCTCTACAACGGGTAGCTTTTATTTCTTTTAGTGTGTATGTGTGTGTGTGTGTGTGTGTGTGTGTGTGAGAGAGAGAGAGAGAGAGAGAGAGAGAGAGAGAGAGAGTGTGAGAGAGAGAGAGAGGGGGAGAGAGGGAAAGAGACAGAAAGGAAACCAAGTCCCTCACTGTAGCCCAGCCTAGTCTAAAATTCCCTACATATTCCAGGCTACCCTCAAACTCATGGCAATTCTCCTGCCTCGACCTGTGCTGAGATTACAGGCATGAGTGATCACACCTGCTCTGTTAAGTATTCTTTTTTGTTGTTTTGTTTGTGAGTTTTGTTGTTATTGTTGTTGTTGTTGGTTTTCATGACAGGGTTTATATGTATTGCTTTGGAGCCTGTCCTGGAACTAGCTCTGTAGACCAGGCTGGCCTCGAACTCAGAGATCCGCCTGCCTCTGCTTCCCGAGTGCTGGGATCAAGGGCGTGTGCCATCAACACCCAGCTTTCAGTTAAGTAGTCTTAAATGGAACAACAAGGAAAACGTAATGTAATCCTAACATTTACCATTGCCTGTTTTCAAATGTAGATGTACATGGTATTAATTAGCCCCATTGCAAAAGGAAGTTTGTTCTTGGCAAGGAGAAAGGAAGCCTTTTGCCCTTTGATTATCTGTTGCTAGGAAGCAGGCAACATGCTGCCTTAGTAGTAATGGTCTATCACCTAAGAAGGCAACTGCTGCTACAGACCCTTACTCTGAATAACTGATGAAACATTTATCACCAAATTAATTTTTCTCACATTTTTGAGAAAGTTCATCTCCATCATAATTGGCCATAGTTTAAAACTCAACTACAAAGAGTTAGTGAATGCAAACTAGACAACATAGCAGGATATTGAGCTATCTTGGCAAGTGGTTGACAACAGACAAATGTGAAGACAACTAGGGAAGGCGAGGCAAGCAACTGTGCAAAGACTCCACACCAAAGGAGTAAGTCAATCTGCATGATGTGGTAGGGGCAGAAGCCGGGGAAATGAACCTGTGGTTTTAAATTCAGTCAACTTTAGCTTCCAGGACATGTTCCTTATCTATAACCTAAAGACCTAGATCTTTTCTGCATGTAGCAGTCTTAGTCTAGAAAGCAGACCATGTTTTCAGGGAGCGTTCTACCGACAATGTCATTTTGCTGAGTATATTTTCACTGCAAATATAAAGAACATTTTCATAAGCATATATCATCATTACAAAATGGATCCTTTCTGACTGTGGGATACATCTGTACACACATTCATTTTCAGTGATCATGAGCATTGGCTGGCCTCAAAGCTATCCTGACTGAAACACAGATGGCTTGAAACAGCATGCATACTCTTGTGGCAGTTAGTGGATTAAGCCTGAAAATGCCACCCAGGCTTGCCATTCATCCATTCTTAGTTCTGAAATCTGAAGAGATTAACATTTGGGGGAACAGCCAGATCCTCCATCTTTCTAGACCCTCACCTTGTCTCAGAGAGTGACTTATACCGAAGCCATGCAAAAAAGGAACCAGAGCCCTTCTTCAATAGCTAGAGAATGGGTATTCTCAAGTAATGTCATTCAGCATACACACAGTTAAACACTTTACCTTGTGAGCTCTTCCCGAAGGTGTCCAGGGTCCACTGGGAAAAATTTCACCATAAATTTGAAAACAACCTCCTTAGGATCTTAAAACACAATATCTCCATAAGTTTTATTAAATGTTCATTACAACAGTTAAGACCATACATGCACACACATGCACACACACACACACACACACACACACACACACACACTCATGCACATACACATACTCACACTCAGGCACACACACGTACACACAGTGTTCTATTACCCCTTCCCATAGACTTATTTTACATTTCAGTTTTTCATATGTATGCTGCTATCATTTCTAGATTGTGACTCTATGAGAAAATCTCCAACTCATTCCCCTTTCACATCCTTTCTCCCTTTGGGTTTCTTTTGTAAAGATATGCCAATTTGAGGCCTAGTCTGTTCTTTCTAAGAAGTGGTTTATTCAAAAAGACTATATTTACAACTCACTATCTGTGAATGTTCAATTCTGCCTGAGAATAGGACCCAGGTTCAGCTCAAACACATGAATGAATGTCTTAAGGATTTCTTTCATAAAAGGAATGAGAAACAATGTGGACCAACACCTCTATCAATGTTTAAAAAAAACATACCCATAAGAAAACACATCTATAAATTTTCACACCTACTTGCATTTGAAAATGAGAAAGTTGAGGCGGGGGGTGGAGCTCAATGGTAGGATACTTTGCTAGCATGTACAAGGTCTAGGGTTTCATCCCCAGTACCAGAAAAAAAAAAAAAGAATAAAGTTTGTTAGATCAGAAGTAACCACACACAAGAAGCAACAGTGTCATTCATTAAATATAGCTTTTCTGAATGTCCTTCATGTGAGGGATATTATTCTAATCAGATACTGTAGAAATTAAAAGACACTCAAGTATCCTCAGTCTTGTTGGAGGGACAAATAAGTAAACAGAAGAACTTGAGTACCGCACAGCCTATATTGAAGAAGCCTTCCAGGAGGAGTTGACAGCTAAGTAGGTTAGCAGAGGGCTATAGGCAGGGACAAAGTGCTTTCTATATAGTCAAGATCTTTGTGTACCATGATAATAAGGTTGGACTTTAGAGGTAAGCAGGAGTAACATGTGGTGAAGGTTATATATTTCAGTCAATCCCTGGGAGAGTAATATGGATGCTTAATTGGAGAAAATCAGTTCAAAAGCTACTGGAATTGTGTGACATAATCACAGAACCCTGGGGAAGGAGAGTCACAAGATGTGTCAATATGTGAGTGGACCAGGGAACCAGGAAGAGAAACTGAAAGCAAGGTTTCTCAAAGTGTTAAGACCCACTCAAACACACACACACACACACACACACACACACACACACACACACACACACAAGCAAGTGCGCGCCTGTGGAATTAGTTAAATGGACATGCCCCCTGACCCTTGTCCCATGAATGAGATCCAGTATAAGATATAGGAATCACTCACTCATAACCTGAAGCAAATGGCAAGGCTTGTGATGGCAGAAGGTCAACATTATTGCAGATTGAAGAGTCTCAGGGCCCAGAGTTTCATGCAATCTGCAGGTGGTATCATTACCAGAACTCTTCAGATGTACCCCAAGACCCAGCCCATGAGCTTATTCATCACAGACAAAATTAAGACAATTTTCTCGATTTCTAAACTTAACTGGCCAGATGATGGGCTGATGCAATTTATTTAAGATGCCTCCCCTTCCCCCGTTTTAGTATGGTGAGGAATTGTGTGGGGCTATAGGAGTATTTTTCAAGCGTCCACTGAGGACTACATTCCTTGAGTAATCTTCCATACTTACTTTTTGCTTGCTTTGTTATGGGCTTCAGAAGTTCCAACCAAACCTGTAATAGCATCAGTGAAACAACTGGTAAAACACAGTGGCAGTGAACACAGCTCATTTTCTTTCTTTTTTGGTATCAGATAAAGGTCATCATTAAATGAGCAAACACTGGGACTATTTAGATTTCTAAAGATAGTTGGAAACAAACGGCCATCACCATTCTTACTCAGTCCAGTCATAGTTCTCCTGCGACAGTAAACACTGTTGATCTATAAACTGTGTTGTTAACATTTCAATCACTGCTTCCCGGCCTTGCTAGGATGATAGAGGTGTCACAGGCAAGGCTCATCAGTGGCTACAAAGACTCATAAAGGCATTTAGCATCACATCGGAGTCCTACAGTCCCATGACCCTTCCCCCCTTGCCAATGCCCACTTAATAATGAGCCTTTCTTGGAAGGTGCGAGATCATAGATATGCCAAGGCAAGATGCAGCAGAAGAACCTTCTGAAAGTTAGGGCCCAAGAAACAGGGAAAGAAATCTCCCTAAATAGTCATGAGGTCAGGAGTCTTAATTCTGGGGGTTAAGGTCCAACCATTCAAAATAGATAAAGCTTTGATAGCTGGTCAAAGAGTAACAGAAAAGGATCAGGAGGCAGAAGGATTTGTTGGCAGACCAAGGCAGCTTAATGAACAAGGCAGGGGGAGGGAAGACAGTTTTAAATAGAGTCATTTGGCAAGGTATAAATAGGTTTTGTATTTTTAATATTGTATCGAGCCTTGAGTACTTAGGTGCAGCATTTTGAAGCATTTCTAGATACACAGAACCATGTAATAAAACCCACTTACATTATTTCCAGAATGGCTGCAAAACTCTAATCCAAAATATTCCTTTTCAGAAAGATTGAGATGGCTGCAGCTCAGGTTAAAGAGTGCCTTCCCGGATGATTTTTGCTAAACAAAACAGATTACAGCACAGTTTGAATTCCTAGCATAAAATGCATGATAAAGGAGAGAAGCAATGCCTTTCTTCAAACCCCATCATTTAGAGGACCTGCACGCCCCCTAAAGATGTTAAGAACTTTACAGATACAGACAAATCTACATACAGATGGTTTTAGCCTCATCCCCCAAAACTCTTTGGCCTAAGGATAAGCCCTCTTGGAAGAGATAGCTGTGCAATCAGCCATGGCTGGATCTGCACATTCATCCTTCACGTAAAAATCCTTAATTCATTTAGTGCAGGCAGCTTGAATGATTTCCCCCAAACTGACAGACAGTTTAATCAAGATGCAAATCTGACCTTACCATAGCCCTACTTCAAATCCTTGAGGGGAGGGGGCTCTCCTTTAGGTAGAGCCTCACTGGTTAGCCAGGGAGGCCTGCTGCTCTCTCCCCTCACTCTGTCTGCTTGCCTCTCCAATTGCATTTCTTTCCACCTCTCCCTGACACATTGCTCTACTAATGGCAGCTTGCTTGCACGTCCCCTGACATGTCAAGTCACTTCGTGCCTCTGTGCTTCTGCTCATGTCATTCCTTCTCCACGCCTGCCTGCCCTTCCCACCTTTCCTTAGGTTGGCTTACTCCTACTCAGCTCGGTTGTCGTTGCCCTAGGAGAAGCTTTCCTGATACGGCAGGTTAAACCAAAGGTGGACCCTGAGTTCCCAGTCATCCAGTGTACCTCCAACATGACACACCATAGCCTGCTTGTCTAGCTTCCCTCTTAGTTGAAAAATTTCCTCCCCGAGTCTAGCTCAGAGCTTGATGTACCGTAGAGGCTCTTAAGAGGTTGTTGTTCTAACAGAAAGTTGACCGAATTCTTCATAAGAGTTCTTTGAGTCAAGTTCGTTTTGCAGTTTTGCCCGCAGAATCTGCATACAGTGAATTCTGCTCACATAAGCCACATGTATTTTTCTTCGTAAGGGCCACACACGCGGTGAGCACAAAGAGGTGCCTTTCTTAGGCTTCTCTGGAAACCAGCACGTTGAAGAGGGCTCTGTGCAAATCCGGGTTGAGCTCTGTATGGCTTTAACGGCCACCATTGCTGAACTCAAGTGTCGCTGTTTCAGGGAAGATGGCGATGGGAAAATTGGACCCTCCGCGCAAAAACATGCCTTTGAAAACTCCTAATGAGCAAAGTCCCAGGGTGCTCAGAGTGCTGAGAGAGAAGCCAGGTGTGGGTGCGTGGAAGCAGAGTTGGAAGTCACTGAGCCATAGAATTAACAGCAACCATGAGAGGGCAGGGGTCACTCTAAGGCAGTGGGACAGGGAACAGAGCCTACATCTGGGATTTAATAGCTTCCAGAAAGGCAGCCCACCTCGCCATCACTTCCCCCGCTGGCCAAAATTGTGCTCCCCCGCCCCTGCCCTCTCTTCCTTTGCTTGCACTGCACAGAGCTCCAATTTAAGATTCATTCGGGTTAACCAGGGTCCTATTTTTAAACCCAAATAGGCCACAGAGGGCAAAAAAGAGATGGCACCCCCTCGCACCTGGAGAGAAGGCTGCCAGACTGAGAGTTTGATTTGATGTGGGAGATCATGCTGAAGCTACTGGCCAAGAAAAGGGAGGCAGGCCTGGAGCTGAAAGTGGGGGTGCAAAGGGCCTGGGGGCTGTCTAGTGGGAGAGGAAAGTGCTGGCGAGGGGGATGGGAGTGGGGGTGTTTGGTGCCTATGTGGCAACCTTGCCTAGGGCAAGTGCTGACACAGACCATTCCAGACAGATGAAATCGCTCCTATTTTTAAAGTCCTCCAGACAAGGAGCTGCCATGGGAATTTTATTAAGAAGAAGAAGAAAAAAAAAAAGAATTTCTAAAGAGAGGGATGACAGCAATACTTTTTCCAACACCATTTCTGTCACGAGGACGAGATTCCGTCATAGACTCCAGTTTCTTTGCAAACAGTTTGAAAAGCTCTCTCTCTCTCTCTCTCTCTCTCTCTCTCTCTCTCTCTCTCTCTCTCTCTCTCTCTCTCTCTCCTTCCCTCCCTTCTTCCTACCTCTTTCTCTCTTCATTCTTATTCTGACTTTTCATCAGGACGCTTACTCCCTATCAACACTACCATACTGTATATGTTTGTATACATGTGTTTACTTACATGCTTCTGTAGTCACAGAAATATAAAGCCATTCACAGAAGGGTTACAAGTAAGGCTTTCTTTTTGCTCCCTTCCTTCAGATCCCCTACCATGTTTATTACTATAATCCAAAGATGCTTTCATCCCTGCAAATGTTGCCAAATGGTTCTTGAAGCCATTGGCATTTTTGCAGTTGGAGTCTGGGCACTCCTGTGGCTCAAGCACTCCCCCATCTCCGGGACAGGCATTTCCCTTCTTGGTGTACGTTGAAATTGGCCAGCCTTGTGGAATGTGTTACATAATAGGTAGGATTTTGGTTCTGTCTCAACATGCAACCTTTAATTTTTTTTCCTACCATTATGATCCAATTCTTCAACATTTGTGTTCTGACTTCTTTCTCAGAATATCTATTTATATACAACTTTTTATATTCTTCTTTAGGACTTTTGATTTTCTGTACAATTGTCTGCTCTTGTTTCAGATGGCACATTATAACATTCGAATCAAGGTCTTTTGAAAAGTCGGACATCTCTGCCATCTGTCAGTCTCCTTTCTCACATCTCCCTTGTATAGAAGCAAAGCATTGCCTGCCTTCTAAGCAGAGCTTTTACTTTTGTTGGACTAGAAGCCAAACTTGGAGTATCAGACATGTTAGATACATGCTGTACCATTGAGTTACATCCTTAGTCCTTGTGGTAGTTTATGCAAATGTTTCAGAACTTAGTTATATGGTGTCCAATTTACTGGGTCATAACCACTAGCACTGATTTCTAGAGGCTCCAAACTCATCATCTCACGAAGGAAATAACATTCTAAGTGCTTAGTTCTATTAAATTCAGGTAACTAAACTTTCTTTGTGTCTAGAGTTGTCATAACCAGATTGCTAAATGCATCTGGATTGTAATCTTTCTCTACTCAATTCTGACTAGATGAATGGAGACAAATCATGTACCCAGGTTTGAATATCTAGATGCACAGTCAATAAGCATTTACTGAGTAAATAGATTAGTTGACACAAACATTTAATTTGATTGGTGTACATTAGTATGATAACCCTCTCATGAGGAGAACAAACACTGCATGATCTGGGAAAAATGAGCAAACCTCTCTGAGGCTCACTTTACTAGTCTATGGAATGGAGAAGATATTCATTAAATTATCTCAGAGGATTATAATGAGAACTAAGCAAAATAATCCACAATGAGATCTTAGTTTGATGCTTGGCACAACATAACATACAAGCATATGTAAGTGTGTATAGAAGATGTGGATGATGTAGAGGTAAATACAATGAAATGAGTATGGAATAGGACACACCAAACTACAATAGAATTATTACACTTTCAGGGAAAATGGGATTGGGGGGTCCTTCCATTTTTGCTCTGTATATGGCTGACTATTTTTAAATAGGCAAGGCCAGTAGAAATTCTCTTGACCGAACTCCGCTTAACAGCACAGACCATGTTTTCCTTTCCCTCTTTAAAACAACAACACATGTAATGGTATGAGAAAAGCTCACAGTTAATAATAGGCTTCACTAGTGTGAGTGTGGGTGCTGCTGTATAACAATCAAGTCCCATGTTTATTAGTAACTATTTTCTGCATCATACTTTGGACAGTGTGACTTGTTACTATACTTAGGCAACTTGACTAAATTATATGCATATGTTCATTTTTACATATTATATTATTATCACTGTCATTTCTACGAAAATTAAAGCAATCCTTATAGAGACTGCATAAGGGGCACCTCCACGTGCTGTCCAATTTGTCTTGGACATGAATAAAGCAAAGTAATAGAGAAGAAAATATATCAAATCTGACAGAATTCTGTCCTCACTGATGTTCCCTAACCATCTACATTCTCTTGCCATATTAAACAAGAAATGGGAAAAGGACAATGGAGAGCACAGTCTGAAGTTCTTATCTAACAGGAAGGCTTTGCCCCTATGGGGAATTGTAGGCACATGTATATAAATGTGAAATGTGTCAATGTGTATGTGTGTATAATTTATTACTAATCTCTGATTCAGCAAAATCTTATCAGTTAACAGGCTAACAAGCACTTTAGAAAAGATTGAGAAAGGGTGTCTCACATATCCCCCCTGAGTGCATACTTCAATAATTTAATCACATACAGACTACATAATTAAGCTTTCAGAAAAGGATAGATTAGAATAACATATTGCACATTAATAGACTATAATAAGTTAATTTTTAATGTTGCTTTATACTTGTTATATTTTCTGGAGAATTTCAATGGATGTAATAAAGTTAAAAAGTAGGATATTACACAAAGTATCTTCTAGATTTTTTCCATTTCTACTGTTGACTCTAGCATTCAAAATATTTTTATACTCTCCTTAGAAAACTGTTCTTGATATCACAAGTGATAATTAATTCATCCTATTTTATGTTCACACCCATTTTTATCCCAAAATATGACTGTCTTTTGCATGTTGTGTACGGTATAGCAAAATGCTACTCAAACAGTAGAAATGAACTTTTTCACAGTTCTAGAACCTGACACTTTACCGTGAGGATACTGGTACAATCACATCCTGGTAAGAGCACCTTTTCGCCAACTCTTCACATGTGAGGAGAAAGGGAGAAGAAAAGAGGAAGGGGTGGAGGTTTCTCTTGTACTGCTTATAAAGACCACTAACCATATGGATAATGCCTCAGCCTTCTGACCTCAACTTTATCTTCTAAAAGCTCTGCCTTCTAATACAGTCACATCATGGATGAAATTTTCAACATATGGATTTTGCAAGGATACAAGTCAGTCAATAGCTATGAGCCAGCTTGATAATATGATTTTGTGCAAATGATGTTTGCCTGGGTGAGTAAGTGTGCTACAGCTTATGGAAATGAAAGAACAG